CGGTTCCCCTTTTGTTAGATTTATTTAAGATCTTCCTTCTTTCTATTTGTTGTAATATTTCTTTGTCTAATTCATTGTATGTTGTTTTCGGTTTTTTCAGTTGCAGAAGGCTGTTTGCCAAGTCAATGTTTGCCTAGATATTAAAGCAGAGTACTATGAATTTATGCCAGTGTTATGTTTATGCATAAATAACACTGGCGATCTTTTGCATGCCGCAAAAGACAGACGCCTGGCCTTAAGATGCCTAAACGCATTATAGGTGCGCGCCAAGTATCTAACTGTAGCTGTTTATAATAAGAAATAGCTTCTCGCATTGTAGTGTGTTGTATTATAGGTGTCACTAAAGGCAACAATTCATAGTATGATTTTTAAGACCTTCTAAGATAATTTCTGTAATCAAGTGAGTGAGGTTCGTCTATCTTACGCCGGCTCCACACATGGGAACCAACGTTGGCCCCAACAACGTTAGTCTAATGTGTGTACCGACAAAACTGTGTTGGAGCCAATATTGGCGCCAACGTTGGGAGTTTTCCGTGGACTGTCGGTTTTTGCGTACACATCAAAGGGATTGGCTCCATAGACCATAGATATCCATAGATATCGCCCCAATACTCAACCCAATGTGTGGATGCCTCACCGAACAGTTGAGCCAACGTTACTGGAACTCGACGGGGTTTTAATTCATAGTTATTCGCCAAGAAAAACACAGCTATTACTCTTTGCTCTTTAATTTCTACGGCAATTAGTGCTTACTACATTTCTCTTTTCTTTGAAAAGCGGTGTATCTTTTATATCATTCAACCAGGTCAGTTTACAAATGGTTTATATCACATTTTAACGCGTGAGTGTGTCATGTTTATATCTTGTTAAAAAATTACGAATGTAAATCAGTGTGTGTCATATTGACCCACATACAACGAAAATAAACATCTAAATTCAAATTATGTTATGAGTTGCTAATTAATTTAAGAGTTTTGTTCCTCTGGCGCTACAAGTGGTTCTAATAACAATTCTTGAATTAAACGGAAGTGCGACAATTCCTGTTTTTTTTATACAAGTTTTAACCCAAAGTTTAGGGCGTTTTCGCTTATTTTTCATTATTTCGTGCTGTACTATAGCGAGATAACACAAAACTTCAGACTCCGAGCAAGACATGTTCACTTTTCATTCAAATATAACTGTTTTGCTCTTTAGTCTATCAGCACCAACGAACCGCGAGTAAAACCCACGTTATTTAAAACCACGGCGTAGATTCGTCCGTCAATCACCAACTTTACGTTACAAGTTTGTTTATTGTTTGTTATTGGTAGTGCCCATATAGTACTTTAAACTGTTAAATTGTATTATTCTCGAAAACTGTTGAAATTAGACTGTTTAAATCAGAGTACAAATTTTCCTTCTCCTCCTAAGTGCCTTCTCTGTTGAGGTTGGCGATCAATATGGCAAATTTCTCTCTGTTCTGGGCTTGATGATGGGAATTAATTTCCTCTTGTGTGGGTATTATCTCTGATGTTTCGTAGCCAAGATTTTTTCTTTCGTCCTATGCCCCTTTTACCTTCAATCTTGCCTTCTAATATTACCTGGAGCTGATCAAATTCCCTATGCCGCATTATGTGTCCTAGATATGACGTCTTTCTAATTTTGATAGTATTGACCAGATGAGGGCGTGTGTTCATTACTCTCAGTACTTCTTCATTTGTAGTTCTGCTGGTCCAGCTTATTCTTAACATTCGGCGGTACATCCACATTTCAAATGAATTTAATTTGTTAACGTCATACTGTTTTAATGTCCAGGCCTCACAGCCATATAATAATAGAGACCATACATAACACTTTAGTGTTCTCAATTTTATTGAGACTGATAGCTTAGGGTTACAGAGCATTTTACGCATATTCATAAAACCAGATGTTGCTATTTCCATGCGTCTTTTAATTTCTTTTGAGTGGTCTAGTTGACTATCTAGCTCTCTGTATATGAAGCTTTGGGAACTCCGAAGGGTGATACCATTTATTTGCATGTTAGGTGTAACTTGTTCATGGAGGTTTTTGTGGAATACCAGAATTTTGGTTTTGGAAAAGTTAATGTCAAAACCCAGCCTGTGACTTTCTGATAATATGTTGCATCAAGTACAAATTTTAACTAAAGATAATGTTTACGTCATATTGTCTAATTAAAATTATTTAGTCAAATCAAAACCAGTTCCGCCGACAAAGTTTTAACTACATTTTATCATCAGTAATCATCCACTTAGCGCCACCTATAACACAATGTAAAATAACCAATAAAATCTATGCCTTCCTTATCTAACTATATATTCCTCTCTCACGATTTTGATAAAAAAAGTGGTACTAGCGCGAAGCTTCAAACTGTTTTCTGTATTTTTCCCATTCAGCTCATTCCAGGTGAAGCAATGTGCTTTCTCCCCATAACCAACATAAATAGTGAGCTTGTATACACATATTTTTCTGGAACAATAGAACACAGAAACACCAGAGAAAGGCAATTGCAGGACACTTTGACTTTACACTGATTCTTTCTCATTAAATGAAAAGTATATTGAGCATCTTTCTTCTTCTTCCTCCTTCTTGTATGTAGGCTTTAAAGCCTGTTTTTATACAATATTAGCCTCCTAAATTGTTTAACTTATCGCACCATCTTTTTCATGGTCTGCCAATACTTCTTCGTACATTTGGTGACATCTCGTGCTATTCGTACTATCCTATTCTCTGCCATTCTACTAATGTGTTCGTTCCACTTCTATTTCCGTTTTGTCACCCATCCATTTATGTATTCTATATTGAATGCTTTTCTTATGTTTTCGCTTCTCTCCCTATCCACCAGACTTTTCCCTGATATTCGTCGAAGTATTTTCTACTCTGTTGTTTCTAGTAGTCGTCTTGTTTTAGTTGTGTCAGGTCTTGTCTCCGCCTTGTATGTTAATATAGGTGTAATTTCTGCTTTATAGATTCTTGTTTTTGTGCTTTCTCTTAGGTGTTTGTTCTTCCAGATTGTGTCTAAGAGATCCCGCCGCTTTACTTTCTTTTAAGCTTTGTTTTTGTCCTTTCTTTAACATCTCCGTAACTACTTATATCTATTCCCAGATATCTATGAGCTTTCAGTTCACGTTTTTCAACAGAAAAAGCTTTTTTATATTTGAAGCAAGTTGAACAAAAATATTTTTTTGGTTTGAAGCAAGAGTAATTATAACTGTTGCAAAATCTTCAACGATGAGTCTTTTAATTGAATGGATTATCCAAGTTATTGTTTTTACAAAAATCATTCTTGTAGAGGATCTCATTTTATAGATTGACAAGCTATCTAAATAGAGTTTTTTAGTTAATTGACGAACATAGTGTGACTCCACGACTGGAAATTGTTCAATGTGTTTTTTCCTAAAGCAATTTCATTTTCGGTACTTTTGTTTGCAGGAGATTGTTTGCCTCTTTTGTCTATCCCCACAAACATCCAACAACACTTGGATTTGTTATAGTGTTGTTAACAGGTCCATTTGAAATACAAAGTGTTTTCTCAAAAAATTTTGATTTACTTCGGGCGTTGCTGTTTTCTGCTACTTTTCTGCGTTTAGGTTCGAGTCGTTTATAAGTTTTGTTTAACAAGTTTAACAAAACCAAAATCATGGTTCTTGATCGCCAGCAACCGTTTCCTGAAACCTGAACTATTGCGGGATATGGGGTAGTCTACTCTATGATATCTTAAAGCTCTAGTTAAAAACACAGAGGCAGTTGTGAACCCGAAATTCGAAGACGCATACAACTAGCAAGAGCAGCAATGACCGAACTAAACGGGGGTCTGGCGTGATCGTCACATTACTGTCAAACAAGAAGAGACTCATTTTAACTCTGGTCTTTTCGATATTTTAGTATACATATGAGACATGCACAGTCAAAGAATCGGATAGACGATGCGTAGACGCTTTTGAAATGTGTAAATGGAGACGACTACTTTGAATTACATGGACGACTAGCTGTACGAATATCTCGGTTCTAGATGAAGTTAAACCCAGTCAGCGTCTCTGTAGTACTGTTTACTCTAGAATTTTAAAGTTGTTTGGTCATAAAAGGAAGATTACTATAATAAATATAAGACAAATAAACAGATAATTACATCTTTGATAGACCATAACACCTGTTTGCAATTATTATTCGCCTTTTTATTTCCTCAGATGTTTTATTATTGGGGTTAACCGATGGCCCTAGATATATGAACTCTTTGACTGTTTCGAAGTTTTGGTCATTGATGATTAAATCTGCGTCAACATTTCCAGCTCTTGTGTTTGTATAGAAATAAGAACGGAATGGAAAGTTCTCTCGACACCAGGAAAATGAGTTGCCAAAACTAATCATAGAAAGAAAAATAGAAAACCACAGATGACTGCAATAGTCACTGTTCCTGGCTAAAGAACATATTTGATTTCGATAGCACTCCATTCGCATTCACTGATGAGAACGGCACAAATTTCGGCGAACTAATTTTATCAACCTCTACTGATGGGAAATGGCACTGAAGAAGATTGTTTCTTACATCGTCGATCATGTGCTTTTGTGTTTTTTTTTTATTTGAACTTTGCAATTTGGTTGTCCTGTTTAAAGTCATGTTTATGCCTGCTGATGAGTTGCATAATCTTTCTCCATTGTTATTTGTTTGCTATAATAGATTATTGTGTGTTTGTAATGTTATGTTGTGTGGTTCTTACAACTGGTAACTGTGGTAACTATTCTTACAACTAAAAACATTTTTCAATATCGACATCATCCAATTAATTTTTATCTCCCGTTTCTAACCATATAATATAATATAATGAAAATTATTTATTTAGTCGAAATTACTACGCCACTGGTGTCAAAAATAAATCGTAAAAACTCGTTTACTTATCGGGTACTAATTGATATGTGCATTTTATTTATTTGTAGTAAAATCAAAAACTATTTAAATGTTTACATGTGTGAAGTGTTATTTAGGTAAATGTTTTTTGTTTTAGGTGTTTAACTGCATGTTGAAAAGTCTTTTTGAAGAGTATAAATTTTTTCCACAATATCCTGATAAAGAATTACATGTAACAGCACAACTATTTGGAGGCATAATCGAAAGAGGTATAGTAGCTAGCTATGTCGCCCTGGGACTGGCCTTACGGTTTGTCCTAGAGGCTCTCAAAAAACCAGAGGGTTCTAAGATGTACTATTTTGGAATAGCAGCTCTAGATAAATTTAAAACATGTTTAAAGCAATATCATAAGTATTGTGAACACGTTCGAGCAATTCCCCACTTCAGTGATTTTCCTCAACATCTTCAAGAGTACGTAGAATTTGGATTGCAAGGTTTGGAACCACCTCATAAACCAGACGGACCAATATTACCACCGAGTCTAGCAGCCATGTTAGCGCCTCCTAGTGCTGTCACTGTGTACAAGACTACTACCACGGCAAGTACTGTTCAAACCAAAGTCAATACTACTCCAGCAGGTACAATGAGTAGCAGACCTTCCATAGCAAATGCTACAAATATTGATACACTTTTGGTAGCCACTGAGAAGGAAGAAAAAGCTACTGCTCCGCCTGAGCCTTTACAAGACAAAACTGCCTTTATTTTTAATAATTTAAGTCAATTGAATCTGAAACAAAAATGCGATGAACTTAAGGAATTAGTATCTGATGAATATTACCCTTGGCTTGCACAATATCTTGTAATGAAGAGGGCATCTATTGAATTTAATTTCCATGGATTGTATTCCAACTTCCTGGATACACTAGGAATAAATGAAATTCTAAAATTAGTAACAAGAGAAACATTCAGAAATATTAGGGTTCTCTTAAGGTCTGACAAGGCAGTAGCTAATTTTTCTGACAGATCCCTTTTGAAAAACTTGGGCCATTGGCTTGGTCTTTTAACTCTAGCAAGAAACAAGCCGATTTTACAAATAGACCTTGATCTGAAGTCACTTCTAGTAGAAGCTTACCATAAAGGACAGCAAGAACTTTTATATGTGGTACCATTTGTAGCAAAAGTGCTAGAGTCTTGTGCTAAAAGTAAAGTTTTCAAACCTCCCAATCCATGGACAATAGCTTTAATGAACGTTTTAGCGGAATTACACTCAGAAGCAGACCTTAAGCTGACTTTAAAGTTTGAAATAGAAGTTTTATGTAAGCATTTGGATATAGATGTTAGCCATTTGAAGCCTTCTGTATACCTTAAAGATCCAGAACGTATCAGAAAAATCGAATACCAACTATCACAACAACTTAAGAAAGAAGCTTTGATGCAACCCAGTGTTGTCAACCAAGGAGGTAATATAACGGACCAAGAACTAGCAAATATAATTCCGAGTCAGCAAACCAGTTCTCCAGTCATTCAGAATAATAGTACAACTCCAACATCGGCCTTGTCGGCACCCCCAGAGCCTCGTTTTGCGTACTCAGACATTCAAATACCCGGAATGCAGTCATTTCAGACCCACACCGTCATCTCTCCTTCAATTTTGTTATTTCAAACACAGCCACAACTTAAGGCACTTGTTCGCACTTCCATTGAAAGGGCTGTTCAGGAGTGGATAGGACCAGTAGTAGACAGGTAATCAAATTATCTTTAATATTTGTCTTCTAATTATACATTTTATGGTGAATTATGAGTTTTTCATTCAGTTTTTATATCTTTATATATATTATTTATTATCGATTATCCAATTTTTGTATACATGTATTGTAAATAAAAAATTATTTAAGATAACAAGGTCCTGAAAATACATTCTTGTGGCATTTTTAATTTAAATATTTTGTTTATATGGGATTAAGCCACAATTATTTGTTGTAATAAAAATCACATTTTTAACTAACTAGTGTTTGACATATCAACTCAATGCAATCAGGAAATCATTCTCAAAAAAGATTATTATGAAAAATTCTGCGAAGATGTATTACCAAAGTTATTTGATATTAGGTTATATCATTTCAAAATTGACGTATATACTTTGTTTCCATCTTGTAGCAGCAGTAAATAGCTGAAAAATCTGAGGATGGTGTTTCTATCCTGGGAATATCAAATTCTGACTGCTTTGTATTTTTTTTTTGTGTTATATGTTTGTGTAAACTGTATCGTAATTGTAATTGTGTAACGTAAATTATGCAACATAGATTTGTGTATTCTGTGTTGCATATGTATTGTGTATAAGATGTCACCTATAATCTTATACACTATACATATGCAACGCAATGCACAAAACTCAAATCTACGGTGCACAATTAAGTTTCACAGTTACAATACAGTTTACACAAACATGTAACACACAAAACAATTAAAAAGATATGATATTCCTAGGGTAAAAACGCCACCCTTAGATTTTTTTGTTACAAAATGTATGTATGTATGATCTACAGGCTAGATTAGGTCTGGGATACGTACCAAAAGAATGGAGACTCATGAGTAGACTTAGGCAAATATGCAAATAAAAAAATATGAAATATGCGCATAAATATGCAGTATTTTATGCAAAAATATGCAGTATTTTATGCAAAATATGCATTTTATCTAGAAAATATGGATGTAATAAAAAATATTTACAATATTTTTCTTACAATATTTACAAAAATACTTACAATATTATAAATACATAACATATACAATTATTTTAACATATAAATATTATTTTGAATTGTGGTAAAAATGGATTATCAAATGATGTTCAAAATTTTCTAATAAAAATTAATGGCTTCTATCTGAATACATATATTTGTAAATAGAAAAAAATCTTTCGACATCAACTGATGTAACTGGGGCATTTTTCAAGTTTACTATAATATAATATGTTCTAAATTAAGTGGTTCGGAAAATGTCCCAGCTAGTGCTTGAACAACTTCAGAAAGAACCTGGTAACCACTACTTTTTTCCATGGTTACTTTAAATTTTTGAAAAGTTTCCTTTCCAATAGTACCTTTAACATTTTGACATAATGAGTCAAATTCTTTTATTAAAACTCTACTCTCTAACAATGATAATTTGGAGGATTCTAATTGAGTCTAAAAGAGTTTAAAAAATGCTTAAAAAAAGAAAAAATACATCGATTTATTGCGAACTAGCCTTGTATCAGTACTTTTCTTCTCCAATTTTAAAATCTTTGTACCACCTTGTATTTTTTTAAAATAAAATAAAAAATAATACGTATGTACTTAACGGTTTTGCCACAACATGATGAATAAACTTTATCCATATCCATAGTATACATCCATCTCTTTGTAAGGTTTTATCAAGTTGAAACATTGCTTATTTTCGGCATTTTCAAAGTACAATAATTATTCACAATTAGAAATACACGTTGTTTACGCCTCCAATTTTACAACAAAAATGACACCAAGTGAAACACCGTCAAAATAAAAATTTTTACCTAGAGATATAAACTGGTTTACACAAACCCTAATTCCAGGACAAAACGTGATCAAACTATAAGCCGCTGTCTTTTATTAGTTACTATACCAAGAATTTGAATACCAAGTGATTATAAAACAAAATTAAATATTGGCATTTTCATGCTATCTGCAAGTTTGAATATAAAAATATGTAGTTAAAACCAAATTTTCAAATTATATGCACTTTGTGCTCACTTTTATAAAAATATGCAAAATTTGAAATTTTTGCATTTTTTATGCCTTATATGCAAAATATGCAATTTGCATATTTGCCCAAGTTTACTCATGAGGGTAGCTTTTATACCCACATCTGGAAAAACGGGAAGTACAGATGATACAAATGGGTATTTTTCGGTAACTGTTACGTTACGTTCCGGTTCCATATTCGTACCTGTTCCAAATACTAGTTACTTTTTAACCTAGTATTTTTATATTTATACGCCGCGCCATATCTTTTTTCTAATGTTTTCTAATGTTTTACATAAAGTTATATTTTGTATTTTGGTAACTACTCGTGTATTATTTTTTCAAAACGATCTCATTGTTTTTTTTTGTTTTAATTTTTGTGTTAGGTACACTTATCTAGTTTATTTTAGTAAATAGTAAATAATAATTTATATACTCTTTTATTCTAGTTTCATGGAAAAATGTTTTACACTCAAACAAAATCAAATTAAAAAACTTCTAAAATAATATAGTAACAACAAGGGACCAATATTATGACAGATTTAATACGTATAATTTCACATCTTGCATAGGTACACCACCGTAATAATCCCGACGTCCTAACCGCCAATCCTCAGTAACTACAAACTAGAACTTTTACCTACCCAAAAAATATAACGTCCCGGTGCGTATCGGTATCCAAAATACCAATACCAAAATATCGATATCAAAGCGCAGCGCAGGTATCGAATACAGTAACAGTATCGCCCCAGTAACAGTACCAGTTACAGTTACCAGGCTTGATTCATTCTGTGTCCGTCGTGTCGTTGAAAAAATCTAGATGGAACTGGAACTAGTATTTTAGAAAACCGGTAACTGTTACGTTACGTTATATGCTCATACCTATTACCAAATACTTGTTCCTAGTATTTCGTATCATCTCTAACGGGAAGGAAAAAAGCTAGGTTAGGAAACAACTGGTTATTGTTGTTATCAACAGGTCCTCGAAGACACTTCGTCTCAGGACCATATAACCTATGTAGGGTCATACGTCGCTGTTACCAATTCCAACGGTAACTTAAACATCCTAATTTGTAATTATATATAATGTAAAACAACTATAAATTTATAACATTTAACGGGTTTTGACCCATATGTTTTGGTGGCTCATAACATGTATACCCCGTTTACACTGATGATGGAATTAACATTCCGAAAACGTTCTGTAATGTAATTGTGATAGCCCGTTTGGGTATTTTATTATATACCTTTTATAAAGGATTTGAAATAAAAAATTTTATTTTAAAATTGGTTGTTTTTTTGAAAATGATTTCCGGAAAACTTCAAATAACAATTAAAAAATGTAATTTTCAGTTACAGTCAATTTTGGCCCAATCCCGTGTGAACATGTTTGTAGATTTATATTTTCTTGTATTTTTCTGGACTATTGAAACTGATTTGAAAGAGTTTTTAGGGTTTATGTAAATTGTGTACATAGACTCTTTATGCACTTGAATATTACAAATAACATGTACTTACATTATTTATCTCTCTAGTAATTTAGTTAATTTTAATTTTAAGATAAGTCCAAAATGTCTAAAAGATTTCAAAGCATAAAAAGTACACTTTAAACAACAAATATATTTCTAAAAAAAAAAATATGATATTTATGCTCAGTTTATTTTAATAATATTGAATATCCAAAAATTTAATAGCCGATATTCTAAACAGGTCCATTAAAATAGCCCTTCAAACATGTGAGCAACTCATAAGGAAGGATTTTGCACTTGATCCAGATGAAAACCGAATGCGACTAGCCGCCCATTATATGGTACGCACTCTCACAGCTGGTATGGCGATGATTACATGTCGGGAACAATTGATAACGGCTATCAGCACACATTTGAAACAAGCCCTTTTAACCAACATGGTATCACCAACAGTCCAACAAAAAGAGATGATAGACCAGGCGTGTAGTGTTGTCGCCAGTGATAACATGGAGCTGGGTTGCGCTTTTATACAGAAAACTGCCGTCGAAAAAGCTATACCCGAAATCGATAAGAGACTCGTCAGCGAGTATGAACTCAGGAAAATGGCTAGGCAAGAAGGAAGGTGAGTCCAAAATGTTTTTATTGATTTTTTTATGGTATTCTTTGCTATTATTTATAGGTTCTTTTATTTAACTATTGCAACTCTTATAAAACGCATCTTCCTCTTAGCTCAGTTTCTTTACAAGGTAGCAATTGTAAAGAATGTAAATTTTCATTATAATTTAACAAAACATGAGAATATTAACTATACCCGGTTCGCTAATCCCAGTCCGAACTGTCTAGTGATTTTAGTAATTATGTTTTTACGAAGTTAGTTACTTTTTGACAGACTAGAAGTGGCTGGAAATTACTATACGACCAAGCACACGTGCTCATAGCGCATTTCATTAAAGTATTTCGTCGAACTCTTTTGCAAACTTATATGACTATAATATAAAGTCATATATATTGCTAAAATTTATAGCACGTATAAAGATAGTAAGTTTCTATAATATGTAAAAAATATATTTTATAAAAAAGTTACTGTAATTTAGTTTATATCGTTAGGTTACGCCAAATATAGGCAACCAACTTATACTTTTTGTTAGCATTTATGATGAAGTTTCTTGAGAATATATTAATTTTATTATTATTTTTTAAAGTGATGATAATAATGTTGAATAAGCCATATTTCAAATGATATATAATCACAAGACGTACTTAATATTGTGTTATATAATATAATCCTCATAAAGTACGTTAGATAAAAAATATAATATTCATATTATAATTAAAAAATATTATGCATCAAAAAGATAATACAATATCATCAAAAATATAATTCAAAAATATTATAATATTCTATTATTACTATCATAAACTAGATTTTTTTCTAATTTTAGCTAATTTCTATTAGAAACGTACTTTATGAAGATTATATAAAATAAAAGTACTTTTGTGATTAAATATCATTTAAAATATTGCTTATTCAGCATTATTATTATGACTTTTAAAAAATAATAAATTAACTGGAAAATATTAAACGTTTATTAAAAATATTCTCAAGAAACTCCAGCTAAATGCCAAAAAAGTTTAAGTTGGTTGCCTACATTTGGAGCAACTTAACGGTATAAACTAAATTACTGTAACTTTTTTATAAAATATATTTTTTATATATAATATACATTTTATATATAATAGAAACTTTATACATGCTATATATACATGGATGTTAACTGAAATGTTTTTGTTATTAAGAATATATTTACAGAACTTCATAAATATATTTTAGTGATCAACCTACGCCGAATGACCAAATAATTAAAAAAATGGTTGGTGTTTTGAATAAATCTTTGTGCAGGTTGATTACCTTGTAATTTAACAGCATCCTTAATCATCTAAAAATATTAACTTTTAAAGAACATTTATCATATTTATTTAAGAAAAACTTACCAACGCATTATCTGATAGAACAAATGGAAAACTTTGACTATCCCTAATAATAAAATTCAAAATAGAACTATAACTAAATAAACTAAATAGAACTAACAACAATATTTACTACACTATAATATTAAATTGTAATAACTCAAATAGTATATTTTAAATATACAGGGAAAATTTGATGGGTTTAGTATACACTTCCACTATTGAGAATAATTCTTCTTTTTTTCAAAGAAAGAAATCTGCAATAGTAGTATACTTGAGCTATTAATACTGAGAAGTAGGAATTGTTGTGTTGTAGGTTTCCTACAATGAGTCTGTCAAAATATGCCCTAGCTAAGCGAATGGAGATTAACAATTGCAGATTATTTTGTTTACATTTAATGGTTGATATTGCACTGACATCGATCAGCTCTTTTGCATGTGTACGAGTACATTCAACTCATTTTACTAGAAGTTTATTCAAACTTCTCATATGATCCTATTTGGTAAATAAAATACATTTAAAGATAATGAATAAAAAGTTAGTTTTCATAATGGTACAATGTGATAATCGTTACTAGTAAAATTTGTACAATTCTTATGCATCTGCAATCGTTGACTTGTTCACAGGTGTGTATCTTGACGACAAAGCCGTTTCTTCTTTAATAAATGAAGATATTTCTCTTTTAATTTGCGGGAAATAAACAGTTTTATCTTTTTATTTCAAATTTTTCAGATAAAATTCTATGCATACTATCTTTGAAATACCCAAATCTCAATAACTTTTTCTCAAAAAAGGTTGTAGTTATATTTGACCAAGTACAATTGTTACGACGTTTACTACGATGTTCATCATTTGTTTCACACGACTGCGCTTAAATTAGGCTACCCAGTTTTTGACCCTTCAGAAAAGTTGTTTTGATTTTCGTCAGTCTGTATAAAGCAGTGTACCATTGCTGTCAAAGTTTTATTTAAATTTGTTTACAAAAATAAATTACACGTTCAATACATATTTTTTATCTTTTAGACGTTACTGTGATCCCATAGCTTTAACTTATCAAGCAGAAAGGATGCCCGAGCCAATACGACTAAAAGTGGGAGGTATTTCACCGAGTCAAATGGGCGTATACGAAGAATTTGGACAAAACATCCCGGGGTTTGTACCCAACGAACGTGATGCTACTATGCTAATCCAAAAACAAACACCCATCGAGGTCCAATCTCACTCTTCGACTCCATTTCCGATTCCACAAAATATATTACCCACAGACGATATCGCTATATTATACGAAAAGTTGGCCATAGATGTAGAACAATTTGTGCAACTTTTAGGACAAGCACAGGCTCTGATGAGTAGCAGTATGGTGCTTATTAGGGATTGCCTATTGCACATGTCGAGGAACAGGGATTCAACTCCTCCCCAAGCTATTGTACAAAAGGTAATTATATTTTTTAAAGTAAAACATCTACACTTACGGAAAAAATCTGTAGCAAATTTAAGAAGCTGCTTGATAAACTGAAAACATAATCTTTTTATTGCATAAAATGATATACTCAAAACCTATATCATTTCTCAGTATGGTCCCGGTAGCTCCTATGTTTTAACTATATTTTCATTATTAATTACTACACATTTATTTTTAATTCTGCTTTATTATATTTTTTATGTTTCAATATTCAATATTATAGTCTGTGCCATATGATTTAAACGATCCATACTTTTGCAAAATATTTTCAATGGTATTATTAGTTGGATGCGCTCAGTCAGAGTACTGTTCTACATATACCCCGCACACCATATTTATCTGAAGAACTAAAAGTCTTAACTGGGAACTGTCAACTAAAATTTCCATTGCACGCTATACAATAATACAGTAGACTCCCGTAAGTTCGGTCACCTCGGGACCGGACCCTAGGCCGAACTTAAAAGTGGCCGATGCTTATTTAAAAAATGCCCATTTATTGTTTGTATGGATCTAGCAAAAACAAAACACCTGTACAGTAGAAGACAACACAGGAATACTCTGACATATATTTAACACATAAGAAAAGATAAACCGTTACAAAAATACTATCGAAACAATACTTACAGAGCATTAGGCCTAATACAGTTTAAAAATATTGCACATTGGTGGTTTGGCTTCTTAAACACTTAAAAAAAGTCAGTCATTTTTTTCTGTAGTCACGCCACTTTTAATAACCATTAAATCGATGAAAGTTGATTCTTTTTGCTGTTCGACGTAGGTAGCTACCAGTTGCAAAGCTGCTTTACCTTCAGCGTGACTCATTGTATTTTTTTCATCTTCCTCTTCATTCTCAGCAGCACCTGTGTCGTTATCCTTCTCATTTTCTTGGCGAATGACACACTCAGCGATTTAGTCGTCGTTCAAAACCTCGTTGTGTAACTCTTTTTTAAAGTTGATCCACTTAAAAACATCTTCTTCAACAATGTGACCACAATTCGATAGTTGCTGAAGGTCGTGCAATAGAGCTGCATTGTCATCAGGTTCGTCAACAAGCATGTTGTTTGGCTCATCTGCTGATGTGTTTGCTTGGTCAATCTTTTAAGAGGTCTAAGTTGTCATCAGCCTCCAGTTTGGAAAGAACTTCAGAAAGCAGTTTTCGGCAATACTTTCTCTTGAAGCACTCAATAACCACTTGGTTCATTGGCTGTTGAAGACTTTTTACATTGGGCAGGAACAGCAGTTTAATTTCTTTTCCATCGTCACACTGAAGACCTTCCTGGTGTGTACGCGCGTTGTCAAGCAGTAGAAGTGCTTTGATGGGCAGATTTAATTTTGTCAGATGGTTTTTCACTTTTGGAAAATTCGCACACAAACCATTCCCTGACCAAATATGTCTCCATCCATGCTGATTTCTGCGATCGGTAATACACTGGTAGAGTTTCCATGTTAAACACTCTCAGTTTTGCTGCTGTGCCAATGACAAATAGGGGTATCATGTGGGTCCCCGAGGCATTTGAACACAAGGCGACCGTTATCCTCCCTTTGCTGACTTTAAATCCTGCCGCAGATGTTTCTTGTGAAGTGGCAAAAGATTTTCTGGGCAGATGTCTAAAATTTAACCCAGTTTCGTCGATATTGTAGATTTGCTCTGGACTCAAGTTTTGGTCATCAATGATTTTTAAAAGTTTTGCTTTTCTCAGCGTGCAATGCTTTTGTAGAACTTTTTCTGTTTCAATCTGCGCAAAAAAGCCTTCGATAGTTTTTCTATTGCGCCGCCAGTCGTTGATTGTACTTTTGCCCACGTTTAAATATCTGCAAATACTTTGCACGGATTCCCTTTTGTCCAATCTTTCTAGAGCTTGTAGTCTCTGTTCCATTGACTTGTACTTACTTTTACGCGTTTCACTCACTTTAAAGCAGTTCAATGCACGGCGCGAAACAGTTATTTAGCCCTATTCTGTAACTACAAATCGAATAGAAATGAGTCAAATCGGATAGAGGTCAGCAAGTGGGATCGGAATTTGTAGTAATCGGTATTCTTTAACTCATCTTGACTTCTACTATCGGAATGTTGTGTAGAAATTGATTTCGACTAGACAAGCTCTGTCGAGATCAAATTTCGACATCGAAATTGGTCTTGACGCTTGCGCATTGGTTGTTTTGACATTTATTTGTTGACTTGTTGATATAAATTACCGGTTGATTAATTTTTGTACCTGCTTCATTTTGTAGTCTGTGGTGTTATTTATTTAGATAAAGTTTACTAAATAATTTAACTGCTTAGTAGATATCTTCTTCTTTGCTGTTCCGCTTGCCATTTTGTATTCTTGTAACGAACTTTTTAAACTTAACCAAAACATATCAAAACTACTTGACGACAAGCTTGAAATATAATCTTCTTTTTTGATGAATTTTTTGCCTGCACTAGCCTTTCCAGTAACAACGTCACAGAACATTTATTTCACTTTTCAATGCGGGGTTGCCACCAACTTCTGAGCGCTTCAAGTAGAAGTTGACGTTTTCGATTTACACCGATTGCGATGTGAGTTACAGAATACGAATCCAATATCAATCCAAACACGAAAACGACGCAATATTTCGTGTTTCGAAATTCGATTTGTCAAAAGTTACAGAATAGATCTGATTGTCACACACACAATAATTATACTGTCTATATAAACAGTAAAAATCGAAAGTGGAACAAGAATCACTGACTGCAGGCCTACCGTAAAGATGAGCGCTTTACCTGCTCACGTCTGACTGGCTCTCGCCACGGCCGGACTAAGCGGAGACCGAACTAACGAGGCCGAGCTTACGGGAGTCTACTGTAATCAAAATCATTTCGAAATCATTAAAAATATTTAATCTATGCATTAAAAGCTAAATCTCTCAATGTTAGATTCAGGTATAGGAATTAGTAAAAGAACTGTTAAAGTTGTTTCCAAAAACTTTTAACGTATAGGGTGATTCATTTAAGAAAGTTAAGCCATGTTTAAGTACGCATTTTGAATCGCCTTGTATATTAAATATTATTTTATCCACAAAATGTTGAAGACTGTGTTATCAATTTCTTATGCGTGTATGAAGTTTATTTTGAGATGCAGTGCACATATGAAAAAAATGTTACAATCAATAATACTGATACATTTAATATTAATTTTAGTGTGTAGAAAGTTTGCAAGACTGCCTTGTTCCAACTTTAAGTAATGAAAACGACCCAGTTACGCTCCGCTTTAAAGAAATTATCGTAAGAATTCTCAAAACCTTGCAAGATCCTCGATTATACGGCCAACAATGGACCAATAAATTGGTAACGAGATGTTTGACCGAATGCCGAGACGATCAACTACGCTACAATATCGATGCCGTCGATACATTAATCAAAAATGGTTTAGTCAACGTTCCTCAGTACGATCTTGCACTTACACAATGTATGGATAATGGCCATAACTACATGGCTACCACTTTCGCTACGCAGTTACTGCAATTGTATATAGTAGATGATAGGTATGTATTTTGTTTTTTTTTTATTTTCATTTTAGAATTAAGGATGACAAACATCTATATTGACCCTAAATGGAAATCATCTAAGTTCTATTTCTTAAATAATTCTGATATAATTGAAGCTTTATCTTGTAGTACTTATCCGTTAACAATGATGGATACTAACATGACTATTCCGATTTTATTGATTGCTGCTCTAAAAAGTTCTGCTGTAGTTAAGTTGAACCCTTCTCTTGGATTGTGCAGCCAAGATATTCATATTTCCTTTACCTCGTATTTCCGCATTTAGTTTGATTTTAAGCAGGTTATAAAATTGTTAATAACTTTCTATATATCCTAGATAGTCTATGTTGTTTAGTTCATTTGGTTCATATTAATTCTTTTCTGGCTTTCCCCAATCATCTTAGAACTTATTCATTAATAACTCATCTATCCAAGAGACTATTAATATGTGCGTAAATAGCACCGCAACTTGTCTACCAGAACTATAATGAAATAGAAGATGAATAAGTTCAAACTATACAAAGCACAATATCCAGATATAATAACGGCGAAAATACTCAAGGTGACAGAAGAGACTGGAATATGAGAATCAAATATGGTATTCCAGAAAATGAACAATCTACAATATATGGCAATACACAGAAAAGCAGCTTTCATGATCACAAATACAGTGATACTGCAGGAAATAAAATAGATGTGATCTAGCATAGATAATTATTGAGACTATAATCAAAATATGTAAAGACACCCAAGCTTCAATAATCCTAAAAATAAGATTAGTCAACTGTTTAATAAACCCAATACTAACATACAGATGCGAATCTTGGACACTAAGACAACCAGAAAGGAGAAAGATAGACGCCACTGAGATGTTTTGTTTTAGAGGAAAGTTATGAATTACATAACAAATATTTTGATTTTAAGTAAAGATCAGTAAAAATCTCACCAGCAAAGTCGCAACTTCTTCTTCTTCAGTGCCTTATCCGGTCCGGATGTTGGCGATCATCAAGGCTATCATGGTTTTGTTGACTGCTCTGCGAAACAGCTCCGCTGAGGTCATCCCAAACCATTGTCGGAGATTTTTCAACCACGAGATACGACGGCGTCCCGATCCTCTTCTGCCAAATACTTTACCCTGCATAACGAGTTGAAGAATTCGATATTTTTCTTCGTTCCGCATCACGTGACCGAGATACTTAAGCTTACGTTTAATTAAATTAAGAACTTCTTTTTCTTTTGTCATGCGCTGTAGGACCTCAACGTTGGTGACATGGTCCACATAAGATATAGTCGCAACTACAACAATTAAAATATGTTGTTGGACATGTTAGGAGATCTCAACAGAATCAAATGACCAAATCACAGGAATCTACGAAAGACCAATACATGAATTAAAATAACCAGAGACAGATATCTATGGTGACTACTCTTGACTACTGAGAAAAAGTCAAGAATTTATAAAGCCAGTGTAAGACCAATAATAACGTATTATGCCTCAGAAATAAGACCCGACACATTGTGAATACCCACGAATAACACACGATACCGCAAAGGCTACTGGAAACCGCAGAGATGAGAGTACTGAGAAGAATTACAGGAAATACGCTGAGAGATCGAAAGAGAAATGAAGACGTTAGAAGAAAATGTAACATACAGTTCATAAATAAATGGACACAAAATAGAAAAAAGAATGGAATAACCACATAAGCAGAATGGAGGAGACCTGTGTCGTCAAAATAGCAAGAGATAAGTGACCAATCGGCAGAAGTATCGGACGACCGTGCAAAAGATGGAGTGACAACCTTCCATAGAGGTATTAATCCGCCAATGAACAAGCAGAATTGTTTATAAAGAGGAAAAAGAAGAATATATCTATGGTGGTGGACCCATACACGCGGGGGTCAAGACTGATGAGATGAAGATATGTAGCTTTGCATTATATTCGCTTCGAAGTTGATCGTACTGATTTGTGTATGCTTCGGCTTTAGTTTTTGCTACTGTTTCTTCCACTTGCTTTTTAGCGACTATATAGTTTTGAAGATCTATGCTCTGTTCATTTCCTTGCCACTGTTTATCCAGTTTTCTCTTCTTTTTTATTTTTTTCTTGAACTCCGTCCACCACCAGCTTGCTTTACTGTCAAAATTTTTTTCTAAGTTTCTTCCTTTCAAGAAGGGTAATTCAATAGAAGTATCTCTCATAAAACTGCCCATTTCTATAATAATATTTATTCAAATTATATTGGGGCTTCCTTTCATATTTTAATTTATTTTTTTCTACTATTTTTGCCCTTAATAAATTTTTCTCATCTTACATTTGATGAAGACTCGCCTTGATTATTGAAAATAATCAAAATCTAAGTTTAAAATTTGACTTGTTTTTTTTTTTTATTAAAAATTGCCTTGATTATTGAAAATAATCAAAATCTAAGTTTAAAATTTGACTTGTTTTTTTTTTCTTAATCATTTCATATATTTTATTACATTTGTTTTTAGAAACGGTCAGCTTGTTACTGAAAGTGATTTGTGCAACACGATTGAGGTATTAGCCAAAATTAATTCCCATTCTAGACCACAACCAGAAGGATTAGGAAATATTATGGATGTATTGAGACAGAGTGAACCGAGCTCATTTTTTGGAGACCGCGCGCCAATGGGACCTACTGTTCATATCCATAACGGAATATTACAGGTAACATATATTTTTTGAACGTAAAAATCATGAAAGAAGTTGTTTTACATGAACTTGTTAACCTTCTATTAATCTGTGAAGCCTTTTACTAATGTGTTGCATATTCGGGTTTTGGGGAATCTTTTCGAGAATGTTGTTTAACTCTACTTTTGAATCCCTTCGTATTTTCATTTATTTTTCTTGTGTGATGGTTCCCTTTTTTATTGTCTCCTGACTACATCTTGCATATTGAATCTGTTAAAATATCAGGAGTAAATAGTTTTTACAAAAACAAAGAAAAAGACACTGGTTGGTTTAGTCACTATAACAGTTCACATCCTAGGTCATCTTCATCGTCGTTTGTGTCTGACCACGAACTGTCAAAATCGTCTTCGCCAACATGATCAGTTCAGCCACGTCATCTATTAAATGTTTTTTTCTAACGAACTTCTGTTCTACTTGAATAACTTGATCGCAAGTTTTTTTCCAAACATCTGCTCCAAGATTATTAAATTTTTATTCGACTATCTGCCTAATGTCCGTCATTTTAAACGACACATTTTTTGATGCTATATGATTTTTGACTGCTCCCCAATTTTCTCAATCCTATTTAGTTGAGGGTGGTATGGAGAAACAAGTAATACAATGTGTCCTTGTTTGTCCATTATTTTGTGTACTAATTTTGTATTGGTCACTTCAAAAGAAATGCATTTTTCTGTGAGCCATTGCTGCATGTCTTTTTTTTTTTTCATGAAGATGTAGGAGCCGCTTTACAGGCTTCGTTGTGATAGTATGCGTCGTCCAATACAAGCACGGTGTTCTGGTGCAAGTTGGGAATTAACTTTTCTTGAAGCCGTTTTGTAAAGTTGTCGTGGTTTATATCGTTGTGATAATCAGCAATACGCTGATCAGATTTGAAGATTAGGAGGCAATTTGGAAGAAAACTTTCCGCCCCCCCCCCCCCCATTTACAATAGTTAACCTCTGAGGTTTGGCAACAGGAGCCTTTAAACAGTTGTTTGAACCATCATCCCATGATTTACATGTGTGACTGGTGTGGAGATACGTTTCATCAGTATATATACAGTATTGTGCGAATTAATGTGAACAAACAGAATTAATTTGTAAATATGATTTGTCTAGACCAAAGGTAAATTTAGGTACACTTACATGAGATTTTTTCATTAATTAGTATTTAATATGTCACCCTTTTAATTTTATGACTTCCTGAAGTCTTCTAGGCATGGAATCCACAAGTTTTTTGCAATTGTTTGTGATTGCTTCATCTCTAAACCACACCTTAATCACTGCTTCCACCATTTCTGTTTTTGTCGTACAGTCAAATTTTTGCAGTTTAGTCTTACATATTGCCCACAAATTTTCAATAGGACTAAGGTCAGGTGAATTCCCAGGCCAATCAAGAAAGGTAATATTATCCTTGAAGTATTTCATCATAACCTTGGATACATGGCACGGAGCCGAATCTTATTAAAAAATTTCAGTCCCTTCGGCCTGTACTTTGTCAAGCTCTATAGCTAAGCGTTGCCCTAGCATGGCTTTGTACTTTTCACTGTTCATCATACCTTCAATAGGAATAAGAGTGCCAGTTCCTGAGTATGAAAAACAGCCCCAGAACATTTTTTTGGTAGAACTGTTTGGTTAATATGGCTAGCTGAAAGTGACTCATTGGCTGCCTTTCGTACGAATTTTGATCGCTGGCCATACACTAGGAAGTGGGTCTTATCAGAAAAAAACACTTTTCTGCAATCTTCTGCACTCCAATGAACGTATTTTTTTGCACAATTTAGTCTTTTTTCATCATAGGCGCTGTCAGAAGTTGTTTTTTCTGCGGTCTCACGGATCTTCTCCCTCCTTCTAAGAGACGTCTGCGTACTGTTGAGTCATAAATTTTTATTCCAGCCTTTTCTAAATCTTGTTGGAGGTCGTAACTTGTTTTTCTGGGATGAAGTTTGCTATCGCGCAAAAGAAATGCTTCATCTCGAGGAGTAGTCTTCCGTTTTCTTCCACATTTTTCTTTCCGCTGCACTTCAACTGACCCTGTTTCCTTTTTTTGTTTAATTATTTTGTGTACTGCACCCAAACTTACACAACACTCACTAAGTGTTATGATCCTTTCTCTTTTCCTAGGAGTGATATCCACATTAAAAAGTTAAACCTGATTGCACAGTTAAATCAATGAAAATAACACCAACTTGCACATAACCTGAGATGCAATAGAATATAATAATGATATAAAACACAAAGCACGTGTTTTGAACAATATACTAATAAGGTTTTGTTTGAGGTTATGTTGTTTTTTTGACAAAACAGTTGACAGAATAGGCACATCAGGTGTACCAACTTATGAAAACTGAATTTCGATCTCTGTTCACATTAATTCGCACAATACTGTAATATCATAACCCTCTGCTCTATATTTTTTATTTTTCTTAGATAGTCTATTCTTTTGGCTCGAATATCTGTTTTTTCTGTTGTCCTTGTTTTTTGCCATTTAAAACCTAATTTCTTTACCACTTTTCTGAACGACGATAATTTTCCTTGGAAATTAATATCATCCTTAACAGCGTTGTAAACAGTTGACAAGTCCAATTTTTATTGTTTAGCATCAGTCTCAAGAAACAAAATAAATGAAGAAATTATTTTTAAATTTCCTTAATTCGCCTCTCTTTTAATTTATTATAAAGTACCTAAGTACTTATCCTATTATACATTTATCAAATCTTAAGTGATAAGTAATAAGTAATAATTGTTAGACTTCCTTTGAATTACTGAATTGAACAAGTGTGTCCTGTAGATACACCGTGTTTCGCATGGAAAGGGCGACTGAACCAAATTTTGTCTGTCGCGCCGTAGTCAGGAGTGTCTCTACATATTCCGATTCATAATTTTTGTAAAAGTTAATATTTTTTTCCTTTTAAAATAAAATCTTAAAACTTGCAGGTGAGAGCGCCGAATTATGAAGATCCTCCAGGTCTAGTAGAAAAAACTGATCACCTTCTCCGAGAATGGATTTCTTTTTATCACGGCCAGAACCAGGGTCGAGATTCTACCAAAGCTTTTAGTGTTTTCGTCCACCAAATGAACGTCTACGGCATACTAAAGACTGACGATTTAATTACGAGGTTTTTTCGACTTTCGACGCAACTTTGCGTTGAAACTGTGTACAGAGTCCTTGCAGAAAAAACGACGACAAACGTATCTTTATTGAGGCCGAAGTGCTATCAAACCTTAGACGCGTACGTGAGATTGGTGGCCTTATTGGTGAAGCATTCAGGTGATGCAAATAATACAACTACCAAAGTGCATCTTCTAAATAAGGTAAGAAAATCAATATAATTGCAACTTGGATAAAAAATGTATCAGTTATTTTTTATATTAAAATTTTAAAAAATAGTTCTATGGCAGTCATCCGGTAATGACACCCTTATATTCTGTTAAATAAATTATCAGTCGATTACTAAAGAGTTTATTAAACAATAAGCCTTAGAACATTAATAAAAATTTACTTCTTATATGATTGACAAGAAGTAATATAACCTAGAAAAAAATTTTCTTTATTATTATAATTATATTCAAACAGCTACATTCTTGCAAAATTTGTTGAATTCTGCTTCAGTTTCTACTATGTTTTTTTATTTACCCAGGTAGAGAATAAATACATTTTATAAATAATGCTAATTATGGAAGTGTTCCACAAGATCAATGATATCTCGTATTAAAAAACTCCACAGATTCGCTTAAATCAATACCGAAGTTAAAAATATTGTTAAATATTATGTTCTTATGGGATTAAGCCACAATTGATGGCTGTGGTTGTGATGAAAATCACATTTTTGATTGACCAATATTTGCGTTTCAATTGCCACTCCAGAAATCGTTTTTGGGATGTTATTTTCATCACAAAAACATAATGTTTAACTTAACCATGCCACTTCTCAGTTTGTTTATTAAAATGACTTAAGTGGCTAAGAAGTAAATTACCACGACACTGAAAGTAACACTTTCTCTTTGACTCTGTTTGACACCATAAAGCTAGGCAGAACCGCAAAATCTAACATGAAATTATAATATACATGAATTAATCTTACTCAATATCTACTGTTACTGTATAATTATTTAACATAGAGAAAATGGAACAGGATAACATTGAACCGCATCCTACAACATTTACAAGACACAAGTCGAGGAAAATAAGAATACGATATGTGAAAGGATTATCAAAAGAACTTACAAGAATATGAAGTATTCAAATTCACAATGGAAAAAGAAAACAATACCTCACTTCCTTTTCTGGATGTGTTAATCACAAAAGAGATACGCATTAATTATCTAATGATTACCAATTGTCATTTATAAACAAGGAATTTCACAAGCTTGAATAAAGGAAACAACGAAACACCACGAACAATCCAGAAACACTTACAAGAACGGATTCAAAAACGATACCATAATGTAAAGGGCTTATCAGAAAAATTGAAATTATAGGAAATAAAAAGATCATAATAACATTCAAAACAACCAACACACTGAGATATATTTTGGCCAAAACCAAACCTTAAAAAACATCAAAAATACAGACTTCAACAAATCACAGATATGTAAACATGCCTGGATAATGGGCACATAGTACAATGAAACGATGCATTAATGGTATGAAATAAACAGACATAGAAAACAATCGTAAAATAGTTTCGAAACACAATTCAGATTTCTGCTTTATAATCTGAGCCTTCTAAGAATTGCAAGGCAAACAGACGTTGATAAAAGATGTTAAAAGAGACATGGGGAATCTAAAATTTGCATTCCACGACATGTCTTTGACAACTAAGCAGAAATCCTTAGCGAATTGTGTTTCTCGTACTCTCACAGAGTATATCCGAATAAAATGAGAAAAGGCAGCAAATATTTGATTTCACGCAAACAAATCCTATGTATCTCTTGATACGTATTTCGACCTAAAAGGTCTCGTCAGAAGAGCTATTCATAGGGGTTCTCAACGTGAAAAATCAATATTTTCTGTCTTTTAAGAAGCAACAATAACATGGCTTCAATACGGACGCAGTAGCGACATCTAATTAAACAATCGTAAAATAGTTTCGAAACACAATTCAGATTTCTGCTTTATAATCTGAGCCTTCTAAGAATTGCAAGGCAAACAGACGTTGATAAAAGATGTTAAAAGAGACATGGGGAATCTAAAATTTGCATTCCACGACATGTCTTTTACAACTAAGCAGAAATCCTTAGCGAATTGTGTTTCTCGTACTCCCACAGAGTATATCCGAATAAAATGAGAAAAGGCAGCAAATATTTGATTTCACGCAAACAAATCCTATGTATCTCTTGATACATATTTCGACCTAATAGGTCTCGTCAGAAGATCTATTCATAGGGGTTCTCAACGTGAAAAATCAATATTTTCTGCCTTTTAAAAAGCAACAATAACATGGCTTCTGTATGCAGTTTTTTTCTGTATGCAGAAGAGTCGACCAGACGTAGCATTTTGATAAACGTAGTCGAATTTCGAGTTTTATTCGAGAATCAGAAAGCAGTTTTTTTATTTTTTCGAAAGATTTTCTAGCCTGTTCTATTCTCGATCTTATTTCTTGATCAGGATTTAGGCTGCTATCGATCCAACATCCCAGGTACTTAAATCTATTGACCTGTTCTAAGATGTGCCCATTTATTGTGCAAGGTTGAGGTACGTTTTGGTTTTTTCGGATTGACATCACTTTGGTTTTTTTAATGTTTATTTTCATACCAAATTGCTCACAGGTCGAGTTGGTCTTGTCGATGAGTCGTTGTAGACCTGAGTCGGAATCCGCAATTAACACTGTATCATCGGCGTATCTGATACTGTTGATATTTACGCCATTCACCTTGACTCCATCCTTGGAATCCTCCAATGCTTCTTTAAATAGAAACTCGGAGTAAAGATTAAACAGCAGAGGCGACAGAACACATCCCTGTCTAACTCCCCTCCTAATTTCTACTTCTGCGGATGTGGAACCTTCGATCCTAACTCTGGCTTTTTGGTTCCAGTACAAGTTTTTTAATAATTTGATGTCTTTTCCATCTAAACCGACTTCTTGCAAACGTTCTAATAGTAGGTCGTGTCTTACTCTATCAAATGCTTTTTCGAAGTCTATAAAGCATATAAATATATCTTTCTGTTGGTCGTAGCATTTTTGGGCGAGAACTAGTAAACTGAACAGGGCTTCTCTCGTTCCCATGCCGGCTCTGAATCCAAACTGATCGTCTCCGATGATTGTTTCGCACTTTCTATAGATACGATTATGTACGATTTTTAGTAGGACTTTTACAGCATGACTCATAAGGCTTATCAGACGGAACTCATTGCAGTGTTGTGGGTTTGGCTTTTTTGGTAGTGGGATGAATATTGACTCCAGCCAATCTTGGGGTATTTTACCTGTATCATAAATGCGATTGAATAAAAGGACAAATAATTCGATATTTTCTTCGCTGATTAATTTGAGCGTTTCTGGGTATATTCCGTCTGGACCTGGGCTTTTATTTGTTTTGAGATGATTAATTGCATTTATGATTTCAGATTTCAGAATTGTTGGCCCTTCGTTGTTATTTTCCAATCTTGGTTCTTCTCGTATGTCGTGAAAAAGAATTTTAATATAGTTTTCCCATTCTTTCAGTTTATCTTCCGTTGATTCTAGCAGTTTGTCATCCGTGTTCAGCATGGTGTGAAAAGTCGTTCTCTTGGTAGTCGATGTAAACTCTTTTACCTTTTTATGTAAATTAAAAAAATCGTGCCTTTGTTGCAGTTCTTCTATTTCAACGCATTTTGTTTCCAGCCATTTCTCTTTTGCTTCGGTTATTTTTTTTTCGAATTATTCTATTTAGTCTTTTGTATTCTACGTCCTTGTCATTTTTTCCTTTAGATTCTCTTCGTTTGTTCATTAATTGTAAAATCTCTTCTGTCATCCATTCCTGTTTGTTATTTCTAGGTGTTACTTTTAGATGTTTTTTCGTTACATTGTTCATTTGTTCTTTAATAGTTTTCCACAGAACGTTTATGTCATCGTACTCTCTAATTCTATTGTGGTCAATATTTCCTAAATTTTTGTTTAATTCTTTATTAGTGTCCTGCTTCCATTTATATAACAAGATGGCCAACTATCAACCTCAAATCAATTTTGGGGATAGACTCCTTAAATATAATAAACACCCAAAATACTTAGGTGTTACACTTGACAGAACGCTGAACTTTAAAGAGCATCTTACTAAGACTGCTGCAAAACTCCGAACTCGTAACAACATCCTGCAAAAGCTCTGCGGCACTACATGGGGCTCCTCAGCACCCACACTTAGATCGACAGCATTAGGACTGGTATACTCCACATGGATAAACAGTCCACATACTCACCGTGTTGATGTCCAACTCAACCAAGCCATGCGAACTATATCGGGCACAATCAAGGCCACGCCCACTTACTGGTTACCAGCTTTGAGTCATATAGCTCCACCACCCATCCGCCGGGAACATGCCCTTGTCAGAGAATTTACAAAAAACAATACTGATCCTGAGCTCCGCTCCCATGTCGGAACTTCCGCCAGAGACATAAATAGGCTCCGTTCAAGACACCCGCCTCTAAAAACAGCAAAAAGGCTAGTAGATCAAAACTTTAATGTAACTGAACGGTGGAGAGAACAATGGGAGAATAACGCTGCACCAGCTAACTGGAACATGCCATGTATTACAAGCAAACATGAGGGCTTCAACCAACCGAGACGAATTTGGACCACACTCAATAGAATAAGGACGAACTGTGGCAGATGTTCCGACTCACTTTTTAGATGGGGAAAAATACAATCACCAAATTGCGACTGCGGCGCCGAAAGGCAAACAGTAAAACACATGGTAGAGGAATGCCCGATTAGATCCTATAATGGCAACCCTTCAGATTTCCTGGCTGCTACAAAAGAGTCAATCGAGTATATTTATAATCTAGATGTTTGTTTGTAGAATAATATTTTTTTATATTTACTGTTGTTTGTAATTTATATCATTTATATATTTATATTTATATGAACCTGTGATGTAGCCATACGCTAAATAAAAATAAATAGTGAACCTATATGTAAAACTTTTCACGCTTTCGATGTTATATTCGTATTGTCGGGTTCTGTAGGTTTCTTTGGCCTGTCGAGTTACTAGCCTTCATGTATTTGGTTTTTATTTTGTTAATGTTTAGGCCACTGTTTTGTGCCGCTCTTTCTATCGCATTAAATGCTTCTATCATCTATCTCTCTTTCGCTTCTAACTATGATATCAACATCATTTGCTTAACATAGTAATATTTTCATTTAAATTACAAATTTCTGATAATTGCAGTTAAATTAGATATTTACTGATTATGAACCTAATGCACATTATAATAGTGACATAATTAGTTGCATGTTCAGAAGCGAAATAATCTATTATCTTCTTTATATTTAAATACTTATAAATTAAATTCTTACTTTTCTTTTTTTATTTCTAGGTTCTTGGTATTTTAGCGGGTTGCCTTATGCAGGATCATGACACTCGTGCTATTGAATTTCAACAGTTGCCTTATCAGAGGATATTCACTATGTTGTTCTTGGAACTAAATGCTCCAGAACCTGTCCTGGAAGCCATTAATTTCCACGTTTTGAACGCTTTTTGTCATACATTACACATTTTACGGCCTACGAAAGCAGCGGGTTTTTGTTATGCTTGGTTAGAACTGGTTTCTCACCGAGTCTTTATGGGAAGGATGCTAGCCAGTAGCCCTCAGCAAAAGTAAGTTTTGTTATTATATATTGTCATTATTGAGAAAAAGTTATAGGCTCTGAAAAGATTTTATACAAAATTGGTAAGCTAAAGTTGCTCTAAACAGTTCGTCTCTTTCAAGCGTCATGTCCTCCTAGAACATCGATAACTAATCGCACGTTCTTTGCTGTATTTACTGCTGCTGAGAATAATGGATTAACTGCACCTACCATTGAGCTGTATAAACTGTACTAGACTAAACTGAAATTCACCGAACTTATAACATTCTCCTTTAGGTTCACACTTCAAAATCTTCTAGTCTTTTACACATGGAACTAGAGTCCATGCGTCGATACCACAGAAGAGAATAATTAAATAAGTAAGCGCACACGTAGTAGAATTATGATATCAACTTGGTAATATTTTCTTCACTTTAAAAAAACCTGTCTTGTTTGCTCTATCTGATTTTTTGAGTCGTATTATGCCATTACAGAAATCAAAATCAGATGTCTACAATATAATCAACCATAAATTTTCGCCAAATGGCATACATTTATGAATTGTCATTTTCAAGGCAAAGTTTGGTTGTAAAAATCATATTCAACATACCAGAAAGCAAACGTCAAATAGAGGGTATTTCAAATCCAGTGAAGAGCACTTCCATGAAATAGTTTTTCGCACAATCAATAGAATATCTATGATAAGAGCCATTGAGTGACGTTGCAATATTAAACAATTTGAGAGGAAAAAAGTGACGTGCACACTACCCTCCATGCTATGGCATGCTGGACGAGCCATACAGTCTGCATTCAGCACCCCGAGGTATGAGCGGGAACACAAAGTGTATTAATGAAACGCTTCCATACGCTTATGAAACGCACCTGGTGCATCATAAGGGAATTTAGATTTTATTCTTTTTCTACTTGTCTCGAGTAAAATGTCTTTAATCTTTCCTATCAGCCTCTCTTAGGTAACTCTTGTCTATTCCGACCCTGAATGGCTATTAGGTTTCCAAATGCAGACGGGTCACTATATTTCTTTCCCCTACATTCTCATTCACCGAGTGATTGCCAGTATACTTGCCCCATTAACTGACCAACGGCTTCGGGCGGATGAGTTAGTAAGTGATAGGGCATTTTTTTGTCCTGTGGTTGAGAAATTCGCTCCAAAGGCGGATGAACCTATTAGTGGTTAACGGCATAAGAATGTAGAAGGAAACGGGAAACCACTACATTATATACACTACAAAGATCGTCAGATTTCCCTAGAACAATAAGCATGCAGAATACGGTCAATCACATGGCCCCTATTCCGCGGCGGACCTTTAATGGTCGAGGGATGTTAAGAATCTCCGCGAGGTGCCACCCGAATGTGGCAACTAACTATATAGAGAGCAAATCCTTTTTAAATTTCGGGACATGGAATGTGAGGAGTTTGTTCGAACAAGGAAAGACGCACAACACGATTCTGGAAATGAACAGACTGAACCTAGATATATTAGGCATAAGCGAAATGCGCTGGCCTGGTTCCGGTAAAACATTGGTCATGGATAAAACGATATACTACTCCGGAAATGACACCCGAGATCGTCTATATGGAGTTGGAATAATTATCTCCAGGAGAATCCAAGCAGCCGTTGTAAATTTTGATCCCTTATCGGATAGAATGCTATTAACAAATAGCATAATAGAACATTAATGTAATACAAGTGTATGCTCCAACTGCAGATAAATCAGAAGCTGAAATAGAAAATTTTATATAATAAACAAAAACAACTCAAACAACTTCTACAAACAACAAGAAAGGAAGAAATTACAATAATAATGGGTGATTTAAATGCAAAGATAGGAAAAGGCCGAGTCGACAATATAATAGGTGATTATGGTTTAGGAATAAGGAATGCTACTAACTGAACTGAGGGTAAAAAAGATAATAAAATCAAAAAGTTCTAAGGTTCAACTTGTATCAATCAAGAAATGAAGAAATTAACATCAGAAATGAAAAACACTGAGAATGTGAACATTATGTGTTGCAAAATCAAAGATTCTGTTATAAAAACACAGAAAGAAACTCTACAAAAGAAAACAAAAAGCCGAAAACCTTGGATGATTCAAGAAATACTGGAAACCATGGAACAAAGAAGAAACTATATAAACAAAAACCCAAACAAGTACAGAGAAAAACATAAATTAATAAGGAACAAAATAAAAGAGGCCCAGGAGAAGTGGATGATGGAAACATGCATCGAAGTGTAAGAATTGCAGAAAAAGCATGGTCATTATAATTTACATAAAAAAGTGAAAGAATTATCTGGAAAACCACGAACAAATGAGTCTGCTAGATGCAAAACTTTGTATTTACTGTATAAGTCAAACTGAGCTATTTGCAAAAAACCTTAGACATAATAAATGGCACTTTTTTGTGATAGATAAATTATTTAGCTTTATTAGGTAAAATATAATGATTTTTTTCTTAGAAAAGCTATTGGGTTTGCTAGAAAAGGAAGAAAAATTTGAAAATACCGAGTTTTGCAAGTGAACTATGTCAATACAGATTTATGCAACTAACATTTGCAAATACATGATAATAGTCAACCATTAACGATATTAGTCATTGTTATATTAGTCTGTTTTCTAAAACTAGTGTGTTAGGAATAAGGAAGAAAGCATGTGGAAGTAAACTTTTAGTGAAGTTTATTTTTATCCAAAGTACAAAAGGTATTACAAATATGTATATATTTATATTAATTCCTAAACTCTAAGTTCCTCTGGGTCCTCATCATCAATATGATCATTTTCTGCAGCACTCTCGTTATTATTTGCTTGTACGCCAGTATCTATAATTTTATAAAATTTGAGATCCGGCTGGTCTCTCCAATTTTCACCAAAATAGTTTCTAAGGAGAGTGCCTATGGACGATTTATCTCCTTTCAATGAACATCCAATCTGTTGTAACTTTGGTTTAAATAAAGAAATCTTTTTCCCTTTTCGTATTATAGACTTGCTGAACCCTATGTCAGAACGATAAAATATTTCCCCCCTTACCGTAACCATATAATCTTTGTCCTTAGAAAATATAAATCGTTTCGTTGCATTACATTTAAAATGCCACTGGGAAGGTTTTTTAACAACAACGTCACTCGTCTTTCTCCAGTCTGATATCTGTCAGTCAGTCTTTACCAAGTCTCAGCACCTTTGAGTGTTTTCCAATTATGTCTTCATATTCTTTTCTGTTTATTACAACGTTCTTCTTTTTTATCTCCCTTTCTATCATACCAAAAATCCTATCTGGTGGCAAAAAGGAATGACCAACAGTAAACGTGAACTCCACTTCCTTGATGTCACCAGGTGCTTCATAAACGAACCAGTAGATTATCATAGACATCATCGTGCTATTTTTGTTCTGTCCACCACATCCATCTGCAAATAGGTGAACTTTTTCGATTTGATTTTTAAAGTTGAATTTTATGAGAGTATCATGTACAGCAGAGGCAACAGCATTTGAATCTTTTGGATGTTCAAACCCCAGCCACACATATGACGTCACATTTGCAGAAGAAAGATGGGATTTCGAATTTCCAGCCACAATGGTGAAATTATAAAAATTTATTTGCTGTGAGAAATAAGTCGCCTGGTCGGGAAGCTTTGGCAAAGAAAGATTTTTTTGACAATCAAAAGAAAATATTTGTATGTTATGATTTGATTCATTTTTTAACAAAGAATAAAAGGCTTTAGCTCTTAACGTATGAACTCTCTGCTCTGTTATAACCTTTAACTTTTCTTCTTCTGAATTTTCTTTTCTCAAAATTTCCTTCGCTCTGAGACACGCAGAACAAGCATCTATTAAGGGAGTGCCGAATGATATGTTGTAGTGTTCATTAACGTATGTTCGGAAATATGATAACTTTACGGAATGATGTGGATGACGTTGACAATACATTCTGTAAAGCTTTGTAAAATTCAGATCACATGGTAAATACAATCTAGTCGATCGTCCTCCATTATAATGACTCTCTGCACCGTTCAAACGCCCCATAAATGTTTGGATAGATAATTTTATTGGATCAAATCTACCTTTTGTTGTATCTCTCCCTCTTCTCTCTTTTGGTATTTCACCCCGGATAACAAACGTTCTTACAACACGCTCTATTCTTTCAGAACTTAAATGAATTATTCCAAGAAATGCTGTCTTGCATACTCTTAAAAGTCCATCCTCTACTGTAGGAACAAAATATTTAATTGAAATTCCATGTAGGTTTGTACCTGATCTCTTGGGCTTTTGACCTTCACAAAATTTCAGCAAAAAATATCTTGTTTTATTTTGTCAGTTGTTGAATACAGATTATTATGGAAACGCTGAATGTCTCGCATCTTTAAATCTATACAACAATACACTTTCTTTGTATGGTTACAGGTGGGAAAACCGGGTAAATCCTTAGGTTTATGCCTAAAAATATTGACAATAAGTCACAAACCTATCTAGTTAATTGTAGACACCTCTTACCTCTTAAGTTTCATTACATTTCGTTTCCATTTTTCTGTTTGTACAACTCGTTTTCTCCCTTTTCCTTTTTCACAATATCTAATATGCACATGAAGATCCATATTGTTAATTATTTGCAATAAACTTGGTGTTTTTAGCACTCAAATAACAAACAGTGAAACCGGTAATGGCGAATGATGGAATAATTGACATGTGCGCATGAGACGTGTCATGTGACTCAAACAATGTAAGTGATTGGCCAATTGTAATTACACAGTTATGCAACTGGCAGAGGCTCACAAATACAGAGTTTTGCGTCTGACTCAAGATTTCTAATGCCTTTTTCTTAGTAAATACCTTACTTTGCTGCTGAATTTCTACATCTGCAGATAGCTATAACATGTGACAAATAACTGTTAGCTAAAACTCAATTTTTACAATTTTTGCAAATACAGAGTTTTGCATCTAGTGGACTCAAATACACCTAACCGAATAATTGTCAAAAGCAATAAATCTATTAATAACCCAATTGAAATAAAACAAGTATGGACTAAATATATTGAAGATCTTTTCACGGACACAAGAAAGGAACCACAACAAATTGATAACGAGGAAGCTTCAATAATATTAAAATCTGAAGTCCAACATGGTATAAACAACTCAAAATCTGGCAGATTTCCTGGGCCAGATGAAGTTCATATCGAGCTGATTAAACTTATAGACGAAGACAATTTCGACAATTCGACACTTACTTTCGACTTTACTTTGAAAATTTTGGGATCAACAAACTTTCAAAAGAATTTAAAATATATATGTATATTTTTTTAATAATAAACAATTTATTTTGCTTAACAAATCTTACCTTAAAATTACAGTAACCAATAATTTGTCAATTTTGCGAAAATATTAATTACTGACAAAGTAGTAAAATTTCCAAGTCAGGATATTTGAATCATCAATTTGGTAGTTCAGATTTCTTTCCCAGGTGGCGCTAGATGTGGCTTGTCATCCTAGCCTTTTATTAGATTAGATAAGAGCAAAAGATCAACATAAATTTTACTTTGAGGCTTTTAAATATTTTTCGAAAACAAATATAATTGAATTAACACAAACTATAGTAAGGTGTTGAATTAAAGTGGAATAATATAAAAAAGTTGTTTTTATTAATTAAAAATTTATTTTTATAAAAGATTGTAATATATGTAATTGTTGTAGATGTTGGCCGATGTATGCCCAACTCCTCATCGATCTTTTTAAATATTTGGCGCCATTTTTGAGGAATGCAGAGCTTGCCAAACCAGTCACGATGTTATATAGAGGAACACTACGAGTACTGCTCGTGTTATTACACGATTTTCCAGAGTTTCTATGCGACTACCATTATGGATTTTGTGACGTTATTCCGCCCAATTGTATTCAAATGAGGAATCTCATTCTCTCGGCGTTTCCAAGAAACATGAGGTTGCCGGATCCATTTACACCTAACTTAAAGGTTGACATGCTACAGGAAATATCGTATGGGCCGAGAATACTTACAAATTTGGCACAGATGATCACACCTGCTCAATTTAAAAAAGATGTGGATTCGTATCTGAAGGCCAGGGCACCGGTTACGTTTTTGTCCGAACTTAGAAGTAACTTACAGGTAATTATTCTGTTATTTTATATATGGAAAATTTTATTACGGGTATAAAAAAATTGTGAAAATTACTGGGTGACATCTGATTACGGGGAATTCTTAAAAAATTAAATACTAGAGGCATTTATCGCGTGAGTCAGACATATTGGATGCATCCATTATGATCTTATTGTGTTCGTAATGCCTTTGAGTATCTTATAGTATAAAGAAAGTAAAAATCGTTTACTTATCAATAACCGTTTACAACTGTCAATAAGAACAATTTTTTTGTGATATTTTTCTCGAAAAAAACAATTCAATAATATCTATTTTTTCCCTGTCAAGGAATACTTATAAGATACGACACTTGTGTAACCGCTTTTGAAATCCTCAAAACTTTTCTGAGGTACACACATTTTAATATAGTCCAGGTCTTTCTAAACTCTGTGTTGCGACGCCCTGGAGCGTCGCTGCGTTTTCCCAGGGGTATCGCGTGTCAGCGCGGACTTTTAATACAGAAAATATATTTGATTTTAAATGAGTATAAAATATGACCCTTGAATTATCCGAAATTATTCGAAAAATTGTTCAATCCCAAAATTATCCGATGATCCACGAAATTAGCCGAAAATCGGATAATTATCCGAACATTGGCAACACTGGAGTCGAGTGAGCGCTGGGTCGGGCGTAGTCTGTTTCGCTGGTCGGCTCCTCTTCCCCGTGTTCCCTACTTTCGTGCGTGTTACGTCATTTAGTTAAGCTTTTGTTTTGTTTTATTACGAACGTTGAGTTTTTTGCTTCCACAATGTGTTGTTTGTCGCAAAGTGTTAGCAGCTGAAAGTTTGCTTCCTAATAAACTATAACGTCGTCTAGAGCTTAAACATCAGACCACGGCTTTAGTTTCAAGAACATCAATTCCTACCAAAGAATTGCTCGCCTCTTACATGGTAGCTTACCGTGTTGCCAAATGTAAAAAATCACATACGATCGCTGAGGAACTGATCTTACCTGCAGCGGTTGATATGGTAACAGTGATAATTGGAGAATCAGCAGCTAAAGAAATAAAAAATGTACCTCTTTCAAACAATACGGTTAATCGCCGTATTCACGACATAGCAAAAGATATTAATGAGCAAATTGTGGGGAAACTTTCAGGTTTATTTGCCATTCAACATGACGAGGCGACTGATGATGCTCAATTGATATGTTATGTACGATACATACAAGAAACAAATATATTGAGGATTTTTTATTTTGTAGAAAAATATGTGAAAGTTGAAGTCTGAAAATAATAATAACTGGCATAATTGGGTAGGCGTGTGTACGGATGGTGCGCGAGCGATGTATGGACAGTATGGAGGGACTACAAGCGTTCATCAAAACTAATGCTCCAAGTGTAAAATGGACACATTGTGTTATACATACATACTTTTATCAGCAAAGAATGTTACACCTGAATTAATTGTTGTGATGGCATTAAAACACGACCCGTGAAATCAAGACGTTTGCCTAAACTGACAGAATTGTCCTGTGATTCCAGTCCAAAGCTTCAATACGACAAGGACAAACTGTTTGAATTTTGTGGCTCACTTTCTCATGAATATCATGCCATCAGCACTGCTGCATTAAAGGTTTTGACTTCGTACTTGTGCGAAACGGGCTTTTATGCAGCTGCAGTAATTAAAAACAAGTACAGGTCAAACATAAACTTACAAAAAGAAATGAGAGTAGCAAATTCCAAATTGGAACGCCGCGCCGGTTTCATAAGCTGTGCTCAAAAAAGCAAGCACATCCCTCACATTAATTAGCCAGTGACACAAATAAATGTCACTTTTCATTTTTGTGCCTTTGTTTTGATTTCGTTCTTAATTTCTAATAAAAAAACATCAATGTAAGTATTATTGGGGGTCGAGTTTAGGGGGCGTCGCAAAAAATAGCAAAGTCCCAAGGGCGTCACAGTACGAATAAGTTTGGGAAGTCCTGATATAGCTTTTGAGCGATGTGGTCGTTATTTCGTCAATTGTGGCAAACCTCCATCCTTTCGTGTTTCTTTTTTTATTTTTTAGAACGGAAAAAGTTGCAAGGAACAAATCCCGGTAAATATGGTGACTGAAGTGGTATGGAATATCTTTTGTGTTGTTTTTGCTTCAAAAACCATGAACAAACAATGACGTGCAAGCTGGCGAATTATCATGTTGCAATACCAATGTTAACAATTCCTAGCATTTTTTTTGTGTAATTGAAGAAAACAGTCAGCAAAACCTTCAGTTTTGACTAAACCAGGCGTTTTTTTTTTCGATCTTGACTCTTCTGACATAACCATATATCCATTCTTCATCGTCAGTTATAGTTCTTTTGAGCAAATTTGGATTGTCGTTGAGGTCATTCTGACTCATACTCATACTCGAAAACAGTGGCTACTGCGGCCTACTCTAGCTAACTAACGTTAAAAACTATTAAAAAAAAAAAGAGTGCACGACGTTACATTTTACAGAGAGAGAAATTATTTTCAAAAAAAGGATACTACGCAAAATATTCATAGCGGTTTGTGAAAACGGAATGTGGATGAGCGGAGCAACTTTAAGCTACAGAAGAGATACAAGCAGAACTTCAGTGGAAAAGATTTACAACAATCTGGAAAACATAAACATTTAATAGCTCAGTATGACTCAGGAAACTGAAAAGGCTGAGTCGAATATTGCTTAAAAAAAAATTTTTACATCTAAAACAATGCCAGTAAAATATTTAAAAAAAACCTTTTTGGAGTGTTTTCATAAAGGTAGAAATAAGCCAGTAGAAAATAGTGCCGAGAAGCCAAAATAATGCTAATTTTCCAAGAACGCACCGTTCTTGGTGCGTTCTTGTAAAAGTAATTTTTTTCTGGTGAAGAAAACCTTGACGTCAACTTCAAGATAAATTACTATGTAAATTCAAGTTTACAGGGAGTAAAAGTCGAAAACTATATTGTATTCTGTGAAAACTTTAGGCTTTCTGTGAAAACTCTTGGCGCTTTTAATTAATACCTATTGCTTTGTGAGCAAGACAAAATTGTTTTCAGTTTCAGTTGCCTATAGAAAGTTTCTTAATATGTGTTTGTTTATAAGTATTCAAATGACGTACTTTATTTTATGAAATGATTGAATTCCCAATTAGCACCATTTAAATGTAAATCGTTATAATATATACCCAATGGCATATCGTTCATCCGGAGGAAGAGGGTTACATCTCAAAAAAGAATATTTTTCAGGAGAGTCAGTTTAAGTTTTATTTGAAATAAAAATATTTATTTTATTTAAATTACAGAGTGTCAAGTTACCATTTTCATTTTGTAGTTAAGATTTTATAAGTACTTTAAGATGATATATATATATATATATATATATATATATATATATATATATATATATATATATATATATATATATATATATACATATTTCCAGAAAATAAAAGCTAGGAAGAATTTGAAAGATATAACTGTCTTTCCCATAAAACAACGGTCCTTTTTTTTTCTAATTTGTGGTTGCATCGTAGACAAATTATGGAACTGTCTGAAATTAAACCATAAAAGCAAAAAAATATAGTTTTAGATCAACGAAATATTTATTTTAGTATTATAATACATAATTTACTTACAACTATTCATACAAATAAACAGAATAACGCTCGAAACAAAAGGAATTGTTCATTAACATAAAAATAGTTCACAAGTTTTTGTAAAAATTAGTATAATAAAGGGTTTTGCTTTCTTGAGCTCGATTTTATTAACATTAATTAGTTTTCTTTAATTTATAATTTGTACCTCATTGTAATTGGATTGTTCAAAAGAGGTTTTATAAAAAAAATCCCAGGTTGATTTTTTTCAAACTTATACATTTTAATTTTATTCCCATGTCTTCCTCTTTTGTCCTTTTCCAATACCCTGCCGCTGTCACATAAATTCTGCTTTTTGAAAACTGTACTAATGACTTTATGGTTAATTTCTAAGATAGCCACGAAAAAAGTTTGCAAACACGAATTGCTTTATCATTAATTAAAAAAAAAAAGTAGGCGTCATTCGGTTTTCTTGAATTCTGTGCATTCGTGTATTTATAGCGCGGTGTTACAGTTTTTGTATTGGATAATATAAAATCCCTTTGCTTTTCAATATTTTACATATTCCAATAGTCGTTAAAAACCCTAAAAATAAATCGACCTTAATAATGTTTCTATTTAAGTGTAAAAATTGATAGTTCCACTTTTTTGCTAACGAATACTAAGTTGCAATAAATAAAAGTAATTAAGCTTATGGTCGCAATTTTTAAGAATACAATTTTATTTGTATAAGTAAATTACTTATCTAAATAAACTACCGTTTTTTATAACTATATTTTGGTCAATAAGGTTACATCTCAAAATATAATATAAAATCTAAAAAAAAATAAATTATAATGGTTACAATTATCGTATTTAAGAAAGTTGCATTTACAGATGTAACCCTCTTGAAGTGGAATGTAATTACATGTTTTGTTCCATATCGAATTGTCACCTTAATCATTAAATAAAGCTTATAAAAATGTCTACTTACTCTTATTAAAAATGATTACAACACAAAATGCACCTCTTTTTAATCTTCAACGTACACGGGTGCTCGTTATATCACAAAATGTAACCTTTTTGGTGAACAAACTTGAAGCACACACTGTTAAAGTCAGTAACAAACTAAAATGGAACCTTGTTCTTGCGAATCGTAGCGCCATCAATGTATATTCAGTATAATTACAACTTCGATCTCGTAGCGTTTACGTGCAAACTCACTTGTACCTTTCTTTCCCTTAAAACTACAGTACATTTTAGGTACATTGAGATAAAAAAACAAAAATTGACATTTTTCGAGATGTAACCCTCTTCTTCCGGATGATCGAATAATATATAGAACCAGCAGTGGTCTATGCTTGCTATATAATCGAGTGTCATTGTCGTAGAGACCTATCACCTGTAAGTTGAAGGTATGTTTACTACAACAATGGCTGCTCGTTTATTTTATTATAATGAGCTTATTTTCGTCAAAAGGAAATCTATGAAGAAAAAACGAGCTAAAAAATTATATTTAAATAATTTTAATAAAAAAACAAAGGAGTTGATTAAAACTGTTATTATAAATCAATTCATAGCCTAATATTTATAAAATAACAATTTACCTAAAAAGTGATAATGTTTCGTTTTTTGAACTTCCACGGTCACAAACAAGGTACCTAAATGGCATTTTACTTAAACATTAAATAAATGAACCTAAAAGAAAATTGCTTTTCACATACAGAATGTTAACACCCAGATGATGACAAACAACCAATGACGTAATTATAAACAAAACGATATGTTAATTGTATGTGTCAACTTAATCGTGAACGGTTCGTGGAACTTCGTATCGAAATAGTAAACAATAAACAAAGGGAATCATGTTTGTCACGCTATACACACATGTCAAAAAGTTTGGAATAAGTACAAATAATATATCTACGCCTATAGTGGTTTTAAAATCGTTTTTGTATGATTTTGTCACATTCAACTGATTAGCTTATTTACACATGATTTCAGTCTTTGTTTAAATTTGAATTGAGCCATTTAAAAATGCCTAGAAACGTGATATCTCATTTTGACAGATCTGGAGTAATTGCTTTGTCACAGAATAATAAAAAATCAGAATGGCCACTCTCCATGGAAAATTAAGTACGCGCATTTCCTTCGCGCAGACGTTCCGCCATGTTTTATAGGGAACCAGTGTTGTTTATGTGGTGTGCATAGAAAAATTAACCCGGTTTAATTGACATACGGCAATCATAGACATACTATACAATTATATTAACATTGTTAAATATAATAACATAAATATAATATAATTAAACATAAATATAAACAATTACATAACCTCACAAATCATATGTCTGTGTTTCCTTCTAAAACATGGCGCGCGTGCTGAAAAACTTCAAAGGCGGCACCTGAGAGTGAGCATTCTGATTGTTTATTATTCTGTGGCTTTGTTATAACAGAGCATTAGTCAAAATTATATCGCGATTATTGTTGATATTACTCAGAGTGTTCGAAAATTAAAAAAAAATCCAAGATACAAATGACGTCAAGGATTGTCCCAGAAGTGGTAGAAGTCGATGTACAACAGCAGTACAAGACCGGCAAATAATATTGATAGCTCGTAGAAATAATTTGAAATCTACAAATTGTATATCCAGAGAAATTTCTAGGCTTCAAGGACTGAATATTTCATGGCAAACAATAACAAGCAGACTAAATGCGGTAAAATTGTAGAAGACCACTACGTGTTCCTAAACTAACCAACGCAAAATAGTAAGGTTGCAGTGGGCTAGAGAAATGGTAGCATCATGGTTATAACTGGAATAACGTGATGTTCTCTGATGAGTCAAAAATTGGCTTGGTAACTGATTCGCGAAGAACACTGGTTTAGAGGGCCATAAGATGACCGAAGTCCGACTAAAAACAGCCCAACCGCGTGTCCCATTTGAAGGTGGCAGTATTATGGTTTGGATTGGTATTATGAGTGGTACATGGACGCCAGTGCTGGTTCTGAAGAGAACAGTCACTGGTACTGTGTACATCGAGGAAGTTTTAAATCCTGTCGTACGTCTATTCCGAGGGGCAGTAGGTGATGAATTTGTGTTTATGCATGACAACGCACCTCCTCATCGAACAGCAGTACAAAATTTTCTGAAAGAAGAAGGAATATCTACGTTACAGTGGCCCTCGAATTCCCCCGACATGAACGTTATTGAACATGCTTGGGACATTCTCAAAATATCGCATCGCATATCGCATCAAGAAGCGAAACAATCCCCCTATTACACTTCTAGAACTATAAGATGCTGCTCGTAAAGAATGGGAGAGAATTCCGCAAGCCCAGCTCGACCAGTTAAGATCGATTCAGACACATCAGTCACGTCTCGTCACAGTGATTGCGCCGAACCGAACAATCCGTCATACAAAATATTCTTTAATACAAATATGTTGCCGGCATTCACACTCATCAGTTCACAAACAGTTTCCCAGCTGTCAGATAGTTGATAGTTCTGTGACCAAACAGGACCGGTTCGGCGCCGAGACTATGACGGGACTGATGTGTCTGAATTGACCTTTAGTCGGCAGCGTGCCAAATCGCCTACAGGCATGCATACAGGCCAATGGAGGAAATACTAATTATTAGTTTTATTAAAAATTATTTTGTTCTATATTAATTTATTTTTAAATGTAAGTTGTACATTGTAAGTTTTTCACTCCAAGAGAATAAATATTTTTTTTGCATATCGTTTATCTGGTTTTGAGATTTATTTAATATTGTTGAGAATTGAAACAAAATGATGTTTAACTATTCACAAGAGTTTATATATAAAAATCAATAAAAAGATGAAATATTCCAATCCTTTGGACATGTGTATATACCATTGGCTGGGTCTATATATTATACATCATTATACATATATACCTCTTTTTATTGGAGTTTCAAACCATTAAAATATTCTTTTTTTTTTTAGGTTTCAAACGAACCTGGTGTGCGTTACAATATCCCGTTAATGAACGCCTTAGTACTTTATGTAGGCACACAAGCGATAACCTACATACGGAACAAGAGCCACACGCCGAACATGTCGACAATAGCACACAGCGCCCACATGGACATCTACCAAAACCTGGCTGTCGATCTGGACACCGAAGGTCGCTATTTATTCCTTAACGCTATCGCGAACCAACTAAGGTATCCCAACAGCCATACACATTATTTCTCTTGCACTTTGCTCTATTTATTCGCCGAAGCCAATACAGAGGCCATTCAAGAGCAAATCACAAGGGTATTATTGGAAAGGCTAATTGTAAATAGACCGCATCCCTGGGGGCTACTGATTACCTTTATTGAACTCATCAAAAATCCTACGTATAGGTTTTGGCAGCATGAGTTCGTCCATTGTGCTCCAGAGATTGAAAAGTAAGTTGATTTTGAATCATTTTTATCTATAAGCACATAGTAAATACTGTATGCCTGTGTCAATTGGTTATCTTAGTTTTATTTGAAATGTTTTAAATTGTTATGATAGATATATCATCAAGCGGATAGTTAGATTAATTACTCCACTTATTAAGCGGAGTAATACCATGGCTGCCATGGAAATATGGCTGAAGTCGACGTTATCGCTCTACCAAAGAAATCAAAATCCATATCCTGCAATGATTTCCGGACCATCAGTTTAATGAGCCAACTTTTAAAGTTACTTCTAAAAATCATACATCAACGGATATATAGACTGTGCAAAGAAAAAATCAACTGTATGCGTTTTAGTTTTCGGGGTGCAATAGGTACGGGAGACACTCTTTAGTATACAAGTGCTATTTCAACGATATAGAGACGTAAATTGTGATATTCATGCATGCTGCATTGATTACCAAAAATTATTCGATACTAGCATGACAAACTGATAATGATATTAACAAATATTGAAATAAACACCTGTGATCTAATAATTATTAGCAATCTCTACTGGAATCAAACACCGTATATCTGTACTGAAGCAGGAGAATCCGATGATATCAAAATCAAATGTGGAGTCCGACTGGGATGTATACTATTCCCCTGATGTTCGACATATACTCTGAGAGAATCTTTCAAGAAGCAGTCGAGGATAATAAACCCGGAATTCGAATTAACGGAGAATATATCGATAATATCAGATACGCGGACGACACGCTGGTATTCGCTGACAGTTATGAAGCCATCCAGGTGTTAATGAATAGAATTACAGAAGTCGGAGATATGGACTCACTAAATATTAGGAAAACAAAATGTATGATGATCTTTAAGAAGGAACAGCAATTTGGAAGAATCAGTGTGAATCGTCAACCAATAGAAAAAGTAAAAACATACACCTACTTTGGTACGAACGTCAATGAATTGGGAACATTCCCTAGAAATCAAATATAGGATAGAGAAAGCAATATCTGCATTTCAAAAAATGGCTAACCTATTCAAATGTCATAATTTATCAGTACCCACAAAAACCAGGTTACTAAGATGTTATACTGTTGTACTGAGTTGAGTCATAGGCTCTCACAGACACTACCTGTAAGAATATTGAGGCATTTGAAATTTGGCTTTATAGTAGAATGCTAGACATTACTAGTCATCGTGTTATTAAGAATACAAAAAGAAAAAAGCTGTTAACCACAATAAAAAATAGTCAAAATATTTTGAAATATTGTTTATTGAAAAAAAAAAAACAACCCGTAATAGTTTATAAATATTATTCAATAGAGGATACATTATCCTTTGACTTTTGGTGACATTAATTTTTTTTGTCTTTTCAATATAACAGTGCCAAATACTGCTGGAAGATTGGTTTGATATCTGCTGGAACTTATCCCATTTCTTTGAACACACGTTTTCTAACGACTGTTTCTATTTTTCACTGTTCATAATGCCTTCGATTAGTATGTTCCCTGAGTGAAGTCAAATTTTCGTCCACCCGCACAAATCTTGATCGGGATCCCTGGACCAAAAAACAAACCTTTTTCTTAATAGAAGATATTATATCTTTGATGGTCTTATTTTTTCTCCACTCAAAAGGCATCTGCAAATTGCAGGGTCGTTAATTTTCACTCCAGCCTTTACTAAATATTGCTGAAGGGCATAGTTTATCTTATCTTTCTGCATTCATCGTACTATTTCTTAAAAAACGATGCACCTCAGGAAGGTGCCTTTCTTTTTTCTTACCCATACAAAAAAATTCTATTAAATTCACTAAAAATTGTAATAAAACAAATATATCAATATTTGTAGGGGTGCAATAATTTTGAATTTGAATGAATTTTTGACCGTTTCGGTCCAAATCGTAATCACAGGTGTAGAGGTGATTGCTGTAAACTTTTAATTATATATAATTATAATAAATTAAATTTCTAAAGAATTTCAATTTAATAAGCTTGTAAGACTATTTTGATAATATGAAGATTTTAATAAATTTCTCTTTTTTGCAGATTATTCGAGTCAGTCGCAAGATCTTGTATGGTAAAATCCACAGCGCAAGCGCAAGAAGGCGACATACAAGAGTGATAAGCATTTTTGTGATTTGTATATAATTCTATAAAAATTGAACGATTGTGACTTTTTTAATTTTTTGTTAATAATTTAAAGCTTAATTTTGGGAGCAACGCATTTTATTTTTAGAATATAAGGTGATTATAGTGTATAGAGATTAATTAGTGTAATATATTAGCTATTTTTAAGAAATTTTCAAGTATTTGTAACTAGTATACATATAAATGTGGATGTAATAAATGGTTTTCAATGTTTTGAGCATTAAAAATTGTCTGATTTTTTAATGAATCCAATTTACCTTTCCTCTAAGACAAGAATTACCAACGACAATTTTGGGAAATCAACCCATTGTTGAAATTTTTATTATGCAACTTGATTCTATTAATTTCACTGAAGTCTTCCCAAAAAGTAGTTTAATACCTGTTTTTTACCCTGCTAATTTTAATTATTTCTCTCCTCTGATTGTAGACACTATACAAGTTTTTTTGAGAAACTTACTACATGTATGTTTGTGACGCCATCTGCGTCGTATTTAGTCGTTTACTACATAATTTGATATATCTTTAATTCTTTTAAAACTGGTACACTTTTTTTCCCAATGTAAATCTATGTTCAGACTGGACACAATGGTTCGTGAATAAATTCGTTGTTGCCGTCACAGATAACGGAAATACACGATCTTTAAACGTATGGTATTGGCATAGGGAACATTGATATGCATCTCATCAAGAACGCTTTTCAAAACCTGACAGTACTATATTACAATCTAATATCTCACTGTCATGTTCCTTATGGAGGTTGAATCTACACCCCAATTGTAATCCGCTTTTATCTATAAAAATAGACTATTACTTTTTTACATTATTATGTATAAAATGTAAATAAAAACCTTTACCTATTATTACGGTGTATAAATGATAATAAGAATAAAATTAATTGAAATAAGATACCATTGTCTGTCTTAAAAAATCCGCTTATAACTGAAAAATTTCTTTTAGTATCTAGATGTTATTAGTGCGTGGAAACTTTCCGAACCATTAAACATAAAAAAATGACTAAGTCCAGTACGACTTGTTTAATTAGGTACTTGCCATCAGTCAGATTTGACAAGTTGGCCAAAGTAAATTTTTAACGATGCCACGCCAGTTAGGTAAGTTTGATAAAACGAAAATAATTTCTAAAATAGAAGATGGCTGGTCTGATCGAGAATGTTCGATATTGTTTTAGTTTTTAGTATACTAAAAACTTGCGGTCTGTCGCACACCACTGGTTTTAGCTGGTTTAATGTAATATTTTCGTTGAACTGGCAACATTGCCCTAGAAATTAGAATCACACATGTTGACAAGATAAACTTACACAAGGGTTGTACAGTTCCCGTCATATAAAACTGGTACACTTTTATTTCCAATGTAAACCTGTGTTCAGACTTGACACAATGGTTTGTGAATCAATTCGTTGTTGCCATCACAGATAAACGAACTACACTAAATCTATACTACGTTCCACGTTTAGAAAATAACATTGCGGAGATAGGGTCATGTATTTCTTATGGACGATAGCAACGCGGCGTTGTCACGACACACACAAGCACAATTTAGGGTTGTATAATTTGTATTTTTGTTTCCACAAACATGAATTAAATTAATGTTTTTTAACGTAATTGACCAAAAGTGCCCATTCGAAACAAGAGATGAAAAGTAGGGAAAATGATTTTAATTAGATAAATAGTATTTACAAAAGATAATTTTATTTTATCTTATTTTAATTATAGTAACGACAGTTTATTTGTTTTTCGGTGAGAATACGATATGCCATGAATCATAGAAATCAGTAGAAAATATTGACCGCTTGGAATGCGTATATCTAATTACTAATTGCAACTTAAAATAATACGATGTGCGTATGTCAGCTATTTTATGTCGTTCTCTGACTACATAATGATAATAAGGCTTTTATTTAGTAGTTATTCTGACTTTACAGTTAAGTGTTAATTGAAAATGAAAATTCAAAAATTAAGCAAAGGGAATATCTTGGACATCCGTGCAAAAGAGAGTGTCTGAGAGTTTTGGCAACACTGATCTCCATAAGCGTAATGTTATTTTCTTAACTTGAAACAAAGAATAGATAAAAGAAGAACATTCAAAAGTGTTTACAAGTTTTTATAAATTATTATTACCACTAACAACAAAAAAACCGTATCTAATGAATTTAATAACCAGAGAGAGGGTTGAGTTAACGCCCAAAATGTTTAAAGCATCTTTAAACGTCTAGGGCAACTGGCAACGTAGCCCTAGAAATTAGAATGACTGATGTGACAAGATCAACTTGAAAAACACGATTTTCGGTTATAAGAGTTGTACCAGTTTTTTATGACGCAAACGATACCAATGTGAGTTGATACAGGATTGAGTATTTATTGCAAAATCAACATGAAATAGCTAACTGTGCGTTGAGTGGTGTTTGCTTGAACTCATGGTTAAACGTTTTTGCGTAATTGCAAGTTGAATATTCAAAGATTATGGGTTAAAATTTCAATTGTATCACTGTTTTAAATATTGATGTGGCTTAAATCATTTTTGTTTGAAACTTGCTGCACCATAGTTCGTAATTTTTTGAATATGCTCGCTAAAATTACGTCAGCGAATCTGAGGTGGTTTAACTTGTTGCCATATGTTGACCAATTAGTAGTTTTGAACATGTCTTCTATGGCTGTGGCGATATTACATGGCCTTCTCTAACTCCTCTCTTAATGGGAATTATATTTTTGTCTAGTTTTCATATGTATTACGTATTAGTTGCCTATATCTCGAATTTATTCTATAATTATTAATAGCTTGTTCTATGGCCCATATCTAAGGCGATAGATACGGGTAGTTGGTATTCATTTGCATTCTCTAGTAATGTTCTCATTGTGAGCAGACGGTTCAATGTACTTATATCCTTTACGGAAGCCAGTCCATTGTACCGGTTGGTAATTATACTTTTTGTGAGTCAACCGGTTGTTAATAATTCTCACAAACAATTTATATACTTGACTGAACAACGATATAGGTCTATAATTTTTAGGTCACATTTGTCCCCTTTTTTGTGTACAGAACAGAATTTCCAGAATGTAAGAACACTTTGGTTAACCATGTCAAATAACTTTTCAAAGTCGACAAAGACAAATATCAGTGGTCTATTATATTCAATGGCTTTTCAATATTTTGCTTCTAAAAATAAATAAAAACCCCTATAACGATCAAAGTAATTTATTTGTAAACAGAGCCCATCCCCTACATTATCGCTTTCCCGAAATATGAATAATTGCAGTACATAAATATATAACAATTCAAGAGGAATCAGTTTCTACTAAATATTTCCTTTACTGGCGTATCAGTCTAGTTTAATATTATTTCATGTCTTTTAAAGAGTGGAAGTGTGTGAACACCTTCAGAATTCATCACAAATATTCAACAGAAATATGTAAATAGATAAATTGGGTACAAAATATATAATAAAAACAATCGATGTCTGAAAAAATTACAAAAAATTAACTTAGAAATAATTTCTTACGAAATAGAATAAAGACCCAGTATATATATATAATTAAAATTTACACATAATAAAAATATAAAACAACACATAACACCTAAAAACATATTTCTCATGTATAAATATCGGAAATCAATTAAAAATATGTCTATTACTATAAATGTGGAAGTTGTTTCATTTTAATCAATATGATTTGGAAGTCTATGAACCTACAATGTAGATGGTTTGCTCTGGTAGACTGGTCCCTATTCCCTAGTTTCTGAAAAATAAAACATTCAAAATTAAAAAGGAAAATTCAATTTCAATTATTGTTCAAGCATTAGTCGATATTCGGCAGTTCAATATAACTATATGTAAAAGTGGGTTTCTTAGGAATAAGCATCATCTTAAAAAGAGAGGAGGCCTAAAAATTATAATCGTGTTACTAGAACATATGAGGGTATAAAAACCGTTGAGAGTGAGTAATGGAAAAATCACAAAAAATTTGAAATTTAAAACACATTTCAAATTATTTTTAATATAATTACAATACTTAAGTGTACAATTTTGTTTGTAAACTGAACAAGTTTACTACTAGTAACCACCAAGTTTTTATTAATTAAAGCCTATAAATTAAGGCCCGATATTTATGTATTATTGAAACGTTAATACGAAAGAATATTACAAAAAATACTTACAAACGCCAAGTCCAAATTCCTTAGCATCGACTTCTGTGATGTCACCATATTCCCAAATATTAGCGTGTTGTTTCTTGGCCGTTTCCTGAGCTTCCCGGTAACTTTCCAACTGAAAAAAGATTTTTAAATAAAAATGTATACATACAACTATTGGCATAAAATTACTAAAGAGACTGAATCGTAGATTACAACTAGGGTTGCCTGACATATTGCGATCCTTAAAGACACTTGAAGCTGTTCATCCAGACCTATTCTCTCAATGTTTTTGTTGGCTAAAGCTTTTGGTTTTTTCTCTCCATTTTCTTGTCACATTGACATAAGATTTCCTCTTTTTAGACAAAACCAACAAGTATCCTCGTCCATCAAGCCCATACGACTCAAATGCTTATTGGACCTACGGTGCCCAGTCAGAAACCCCAATATCACCCTCACATACTTTGGATCGTGGGCCAGTAAGTCGCCTGTGAATTTGGCTGAATGTCCCTTAATGAACTCTTTAACCTGTTTTTATCCTGATGCATTTCTCAAACACTCCAAAGACTTTTCTTGTTCCCGTTTATCAGTGGGTGCTCTTAGTGTGTGTTCGCAACCTCAATTAATAACGTACAAGTGCCTTCTCAGGCAAGTTTATCAGCCTTCTCAGTGCTTACGTAGCTTTGTGTCCTGGAACCCACGCTAGCGTCTTTTCCGACTTCCAATTTGGGAGAGGGTACCCAAACAGTCCGATACAAGTTTTGTATCAACCTGCTAGAGCTGAGCGCGAAACCATTGAAGATTAAATGTTTAAAAAATAGTTTTTAGTCTACTTCTAAACAACTAAAGATGTCTGCCGTTTTTATTGATTATGAAAACGCAGTTGATACAGTCCTATGACAAGTTAACTAACAGGTTGTTGATAGCCGCGACGTCAGGATCATCGAAACATTATATGCATCGTCACCATTCGTATCAAAGGAAAGACGACAGAAGAGTATAAGATTCTAAAGGGAGTCAAGCAGGGTTGTGTGCTGTCCCCAGTGTTGTTTAAGTTATATTCAGATAGAATTTTTAAAGGTACTTTGCACAACTTAAAATATGGTGTAAAAATTAATGGAAAACTGATAAATACCATCATACAGTGAACAGCTAAATTATGGAATATTATCATTATTTCGAGAACCGTCGAGTTTTGAGGGAAATCCCGAAACAGGTCAATTTTTGTTATAAAATACCCATCTTATAACGTACATGGAGTAGGGATAACGTCAGTGGTGTAGTTGTAGTGACGTAATCGTTAATTTGAAGGAGTATTTAATTGTCTATTTAACGATATAACATTTTTAACTAAAATATTTTTTAAGGGTACAAAAACAATTTTTTTTTAATTTAAATTCAACTAAATTACAACTAATGATTTAATTAATAATGCACTTAAACATAACAAAATTATGCATAATATTTATATAAAATTGAATGTTCAAAATTCCATCCATCGGGTTTCTTGACAATATGCGAATCTACGGACACATTCATCAAGTACATTGCGGATGACTTCTGGAGAAATTAGACTCATTTCATGCCTAATCCTATCTTTCAAGTCCTGTAAGATTTGGGGTCTATTGACATCTTCTTCTTCTTAGCCTTCTGTCGACCATGTTTGGACATAGGCCTCTCCCAACTCCTTCCATCGGTCTCTATCCTGAGTAACATATTTCCAATTTGTTCCGGCTATTCTTCTAATGTCATCAACCCATCTCATCTGTGGTCTTCCTCTTGGTCGTTTACTTTCGTAAGGTCTCCAATGTTGTATTGTAGTATTCCAACGTTGGTCTTTCTGTCTAGTAGTGTGGCCCGCGAAGCTCCATTTAAGTTTTGCAATTTTTATTGTTATGTCCTCGACTTTTGTTTTGGATCTTACCCAGTCGTTCCTCTTTTTATCTGACAGCCGTATACCTAACATTGCTCTTTCCATTGTTCTTTCTGTTGTGGCTAGTTTATTCATGTTTGCCTTGGTTAAGGTCCAGGTTTGACATCCATATATCATGATAGGAAGGATGCATTGGTTGAACACTTTGCTCCTCAAGTATTGGGGTATTTTGCGGTTCTTAAGTATCCAACTAAGTTTTCCAAATCCTGCCCATGCTAGTCTTGCTCTTCTAGTAATTTCCGCACTTTGGTTCTCTTTGTCAAGTCTCAGGATTTGGCCTAGGTAGATATATTCCTGGATTTGTTCTATCTCACTGCCGTTTATAGTTATATGTCTGGGGTCTTCTGTGTTTGTCATTATTTTTGTTTTTTTCATATTCATTTTTAGGCCGACGTATTGGGAGCTGGCTGCTAGTTCCCCCAACATAATTTGCAGTTCCTCGAATGTGCTCGCTATAATCACTATGTCGTCAGCGAATCTTAGGTGGTTTAACTTGTTGTCATTAACGTTAACGCCATAGGTTGACCAATTTGTAGTTTTAAAGACGTCTTCTAGGGCTAGGTTGAAAAGCTTTGGCGATATTACGTCCCCTTGTCTCACTCCTCTCTTAATGGGGATGGGATTTGTATTTTCGTCTAGTTGTACTATTATTAATACAATTATTAATAGCTTGTTCTATGGCCCACATTTCGATACTATCAGACGCCTATCAATGTTCTCATTGTCAGCAGATGGTCTGATGTACTATATCCTTTGCGGAAGCCAGCCTGTTCAACCGGTTGGTAATTATCCATTTTGTAGGTTAACCGGTTATTAATAATTCTCATAAATAGTTTGTATACTTGACTGAGCAACGATATAGGTCTATAATTCTGTAGATCACATTTGTCCCCTTTTTTGTGTAAGAGTATTACTAGACTCTCGTTCCAGTCTTTAGGGATCTGGCTATTATGGAGACATCTATTAAATAGCTCTGTTAGCACAGGGATTGTTAATGTCTTGCTTGTTTTCAAGAGCTATTGACATAAACTTTTGATTTTATGTAATCCCACAAGGAAAAAGTCTAGAGGTGTTAGATCTGGGGACCTTTCTGGCCACTCTATAAAACCTCGTCTTCCTATCCATCTTCTGGGAAAGCAATGGTTTAAAAATTGACGTACTTCACGCGCATAATGCGAAGGGGCTACATCTTGTTGAAACTAGATATTTTCACTAGGTAAATTTGGATTATAGGTACATTTGGATACATGTTAGCAAGGACAGGTATAAGTTGATTTTTCAAAAAAGTTAAATAATGTTCTCCTGTTAGATTTTCTTCAAAGAAAAAAGGGCCAATGATTCTGTCATTAATGATCCCTGCCCATACATTTACTTTCTGAGGATAACAAAAATCGACCTGTTTTGTGATTTCCTTCAAAACTCGACGGTTCTCGAAATAATGATAATATTCCATAATTTAGCTGTTCACTGTATAAGCAGATGATAGTATTAAATGGTTTCCAATGTCTTTTAAGTCCATTAGCACGAGAGGGACATTGGGACGAGAGATGGAACTAATAATTAATTATTCTAAAACAAAATACACGGTATTTAGTCGTTTATCTTTTTAAAATACAGAATTCCAAATGGATGAACAACCAAAACAAAGAGTATCAAAGTTTAAATAACTGATTAACTGATGAGATAAAATGTATAATTTAGACAGCACATGCAACTTTGTTAAAAATGAGGTCACTTTTCAGTAACAATAACTTGAAACTGCAACTTCGGAAACGCATGATTAAATATCACATATGGTCAGTTGTCTTATACAAAGTTAAAGCATGGACCTTGAAAATATCTACTATCAATCGCTTAGAGGCTTTTAAAATGTGATTGTATAGCCGAACACTCAACATACCGTAGACAGCTAAGCACACAAATAAAGCAGTTCTCAATAGTACAGAAGCTACTCGCCAGCTGATTGATAGCATCAAATTAAGGAAAATAGAATATCTTGGACCTATAATGTGGGGAAAACAGTATAATATTCTTCAACTAATTATGATGTGTAAAACCAAAGGATGCAGGAGAACTGGTAGAAAACAAGCCTCGCGGTTGAAGAATGTCACACAATGGACCGGGATACAGAGTCAAAAAACTGTTCAGAATAGCTGAAGATAGAGAGAGTCTTGCGTGTTAATCGCCAACATACAACAAGACAAGAGAGTCTACTTACCAATTTATTATTACGTCTTCCTTTGATGTTGTCGACGATGAGTAATCCCTCTTTGACAAGATTTTTTACAATGTCAGCATCAGATGTCTTGTCGGAGTGTAAAGAAGCTGCCGCAGGGGATCCGGGTTGTCTGTACTCTACGTTCATATATAGCTTGCTAACGGCGGTATCTTCTTTAAGGTATTTGATAGCCATAGAAGAGAATTCTTCGTCTTTAGGCAGGACAATGAAGGGCAGGACGTATTCTGTTGCGAAGGGTCTCTCACTTACGTAGGCGGCGGGTAAACTGGCTAGGCGGGTGGTTGGAAGAGTTTCTTTGTTACCATAATCGATGTAATGAACAGAAGCTTTTCCTCCTGGTTTAAATAATAAACAAATTAAATATCCAAGACAAAATAAGAATCAATCATCTTTTATTCAGATACATACCTTGTACTTTTTCAACCTTCACCCTGTACCACTCATCGTCGACTGTGAATTTGGCAGCACAGATATCACCACGTTTCGGTGTAAAAGCACCAGGTAGAGGCGGGTTGGCTTGGAATTCTTGTCGCAATTTGGCGAACAGAGCTTCAGCTTTTGGTCCTTCTGAAATCTTTTGAACATAGAAACTACCTTCGGGCGTCACCTCTGTCACTACGACTTCCTCAAAGTTTACTTGACGTTCGACAGGTATTTTTTCCTCTTCGTGTTTTTCTTCCTTTTCTTCTTCAACATAATCCTTCCATATTCTTAATTTTTCAGATTTTGCACTGTCTTCGGCACTTTTCAATTGAGACGCGTATTGTGACTTTTCTCCGGTGAAATGAACTGAAGCAAAACCTTCTTTAACAAGTGCCACAGACATATTTACATTATCTACCCACAACCAACCAATGAAATTGCCCGCTTTGTCATGAGTGTCGACTTGGATAGATACTTCACGTTGCATGCACCTTTCTTTAGTGAAAAGGAGCGCTTCGTCTCCATAGGGTTCTCCGGGGGTGTCAGTTGCTTGGCGAGTTGCTCTTGGACAGTTGATACCGCCTAATAAGAAAGTGCACAAACTATTTGATTTTGGAATGTATAATCTCAATCTAGATCCACTGGCAACAAATTCGACAATGCCATCTATCCTTTGAGCTCTCTGTAAGGCAGGAAGTTCCAACTTCGCTCTAGCAGCATCCTAAAAAATAAATATTTTATAATGGTCAGCTATCTTAAATCATGTAGGGATGTTTCAAAACTTCATAATGCTTGGAAATATGCATGCCCAAATAAAAATGAGCAAAAACTTTTCTATTCTATAGCTTATGATAAACAAAACGATGAATATTTTTGATGCTTCAAATGCCTTTAACTGTTGTTTACCGCGTACTTTGTTTTTGATTATTGAAAACGTAAAGAAATCACACAGTGCCAAATCAGGACTCTACGCAGGATGGCCCACCAAATCGATGTTTTTTTACTTCAAATATGCAGGTGTTAAATGAGTCGTGTGAGAATCAGTTATTTTTGCGGAGTTCTTCCTATGCTTCTTTCCCTGTATAATAGAAAGGAAACATAGGAAGCAGCAACACATATCTCTCACCTCTCATGACATGACCCAGATACTGTAATTTTCTTATTTTAATTGTAATCAAAACCACCCAGCTTATTTTTAACATGTTGCCTGCCTTAGAGGAATTTGTAATACTTTCCGTTCACGAAAAGAGGCTCACGCTACGGTGCGCAGAGGTACCTTTATATAGCCTGTAATGTCGGTCTGCCTCGGTCAAATTGACCGAGACGGCACCACAGTCACGTTAAAATTCTCGGTCAATTTTTTTTCAGGGTCACATAGACCGAGACATCAGACAACGTGTTAATATTCTCCCGAAGTCCACATCTCAAACAATTCGATTTAATTTTCACGAGAGATTTTCATTTTTTTAGGAAATTGATTGTTTTCAAATCTTTTGCTGCTAAACCACGCGATATATACTCAATATGTCAATGTTGTGCGATATATACTCAATCTGTCAATGTTGTTTATTGTTAGAAGTGTCTCTGTAAATTAAAATTTACGAAGTCGACTAACTTCCACTAGATGGCTCTGTGCAAAATTTTTAGAGTCTACCTCACAGTAACTATGATATTGAAACTACGTTTATCAAAGTAATAAACTAAAATTGACATTATTTTATAAATAAATATGTTAAAATGTCCAAACATTGTTTGAACAAGCTTGACGGTTGTGTACTGTTCTATCAATACACTAAGCGATTAATTTAGGAAATTTTGTGAGAATATTAAAATAGATCGAGAAAGGTAGAAAAGCAATCAGTTTAAAACAGATAATTATTAATATCACTTACAATTTCGGTAACTCTTAATGGAGGAGCATCTTTCTTAGAATGAACACCGACTTGAGATTTGTTTGCCTTAGTCTCTGCAGTTAGGAGTTCATCATAACGACAACTACGTTGGTCATCGTCCTGGCGGTACTTAACAACAGTTGCAAGACCTTTGGAAACTAGCGCTTCTGCAACATTTCTGAAAAAAAAAATTAGTATGTATTATTAAATTTGTAAATTCTATGTAAATGCAGCAAAACTGTTCGAATTAACACTAACAAATAGAATATGTTAAATATTATATAGCATATTGTCTTGGGTTATTCTCTTACAAATTTTTATCATCTACGTTCTACTGATATTTTGGACACTCCTGCAAGTACATGCCAAACATTGAGTGGTATACTACAGTTATCACAGCAAGGCGGATAAGCGTGACCAAATATATGTTTGTGGACAAGTCGGGTACGTCCTAGACGAAGTCGAGCAACAACTTATGCGCCCTGTTGGTGATTTGATATTTCCACGGTTTTACAGACTTTTACACTTAGTGAAGTTTCAAACAAATAATTTTAATCATTTAGCATTACATTTATTACTTCACTATTGGAAGTTAGACAATGCGATCCGCTGAGCCATTTACTTGGAAGCAATGTGTGAAGAAATCCGTATAAATTGTAGTTTCATTGCTGTTTTGTTTGGTAACTAAATATTTTTTTATTTGGGAGAACAAGTGGATGCATTGTATCATATTGGTTAATAATTTCGATGAAACTAAGGTAGTCAATAATTATAAGAGCATTGCATATGTTACTGGAGTTAATATGAGTGACACATGACGTCTAGTTCGTCAGTATCCTTACTGAGTAATGATAGTAGTTTATACTTGTAATTTTTGAAGTAACAACAGCTGCTCAAACTTTAGTTATTATTTTGTATTACGGGGTGGGGAGTATCGTATTTTCTTTAGAAGAATCTTTTAGAGAATCTTTAAAAACGTATTCAGAATGCGGAGTATTTACTGTTTATGGAGGAATAGTTCTTATGGAGCTGGAAAATGTATTTGACATCTGTACGAGTTTACCTAACTCTTTTCCAGTTTCTGAAACGACCAGTAAATACGTAATTTCAAATTGGATTTCTCATAGCGAATTACGTTTACTACATTTTCCTATATTGGTGACTCTCAAAGATTTCTACTGAGCTGGTCCCGAAAGCTTCTGTGGCTATCCTTAATGCTGCGGTTTAACTAAAGATAATGGAATAAGGATTTTTTTCCTATATTTTTTTCCTATTGTGGATCAAATGAGGGTTTTATATTCCGATCCAAAATTTTTATTATCACGAATTTTCATAAGTTCCTCTAAAGGATACTCATAAGATATAGAACTGTTTTCGTAAAGAAAGAGGAATGTACTATCCTATATTTACTGTTAATCTTTTATAGGTAAATGGTATATAGTTATACCACTTGCTGATTTCTGTAACTTAATACCCGTAGATTGTTAAAATAAGCAAATATCCTTTGGAATAGCAAGAGCAGCAACTCTACGTTATATTGTAGCTCTCAGTATGATTAACGCCATCTTTTGTGAAAAAGAACTGAAGTGAAGTCATAAGTGGTACAAATCGATACCAGCAGGTGTTTATTACAATCGTGGGTTTTAGCACAATTTTTTCCACTGTTTTCTGACGCCCTACTGATTTACGTTTTTTTTTGCAATAGTTTCTTGTTTAATCGTTGAAAATATCTTTTACGAGTTTATATTTTCAGTTTGTTTGTAAATTAAGCTTAATAATTGTTGAAATGACTATTTCCACGCATGCCAATTTAGAATGACATAAAATATGTTCTCAATAGTATGATTATATTCGAAACTCTATTGATATTGGCCGAGATTTTTTTGTTTAAAAGCGGTACATAAATGCACCAATGTCTATTTAGTCATGCGATATTATGTGGTATGTATACGTACAACTAAACGGTGTCATAAAATTCCTTAGGTACCTTTTTAACTTAAGAAGGTGTAAACTTAGTAGCTAATGCTTCAAATAACTCAAATCTATTTAATGACGTGAAAAAATGTGAAATTTACTTACTTTCCTCCGACGGTAACGGTAGCACAAACTTTTTCTGGGAAACCATCTCTAGCTTCTTGAATGTAATCAACAACGACATGCACCTTTTTGCCAATGAGTTTCTTTCTCAAATATTCTCTGGCTTCAAACATGTAAGGGATATCGTAGAGAGGACGGAAACCTTTAGGTCTTGGAATGGGTTTTCCCTCATCGTCGTTGGCACGGCCAGGCTCTTTGGGGGCGCGAATACTGGCCAAAAAGATCTTCTTGCTGTCACCGTTGGCCATCTTAAGTACAAGGGCATCCCCGTTGTTGACCTCGCTGACGGTAGCGGAGAACTCTTTTTCTTTTCCTTTTTGAAAATAAAGAATTAAAAGTATTGAATAAAAGCTAAAAAATATGAGATACTTTATTCTGACTTGCAAAACACCGTTAAGCAACTATCTAATGCCCCAGAAATCAAAGTCTTCCCGGCTAGAAGAACATGAGCCATTGATTTAAATATATGAACCTAATAAGATAAAATCTACTTACCAGTAATTTTAGGTGCCGTCGGTACGAAATCTTTCCACAACCTTCTTCGAGCTTCTTTAGCTTGCTTCTCAGCTGCTCTCAATTTGTCTGGGTTACTTTTCATGAGCATGATAGACCAGTCGACACATTTGCCTAAACCTTCCTTGAGTAAGAGCTCGGCAATATTTCCTTTGGGATGGATTACGGTTCCGATGAAATTATTGTTGTTTACTGCTTCAAGGACGATCTCTACATCTCTTTGAAGCAGACGGACTTCGACGAAATAACGAGCTTCTTCGGCGAACTCAACTTTGGCGTTGGGGTCTCTTTTGCCATTGGCGTCTAATTTGAAACCAGGACACTATATGTATAAGAGAAATGAATGTTTTAGTGGTGATATTTACTACTTATGATAGACATATTACATGTTCATTAATAAAGCTGTAGCGTTATAAACATCAGAAGTTTGTTATGTTTCATCAAATAATTATTTTGTTCCAATTTCTTTTAAATTTTTGTGCACAAACAAAATTTGTTTGTGCGTTCAAACTAATTGAAGTAGGGATATCTTTAGTGTATTTAAACAAAAATTTTAATTTATGCTCATTTCAAATTTTAATAAGAATATGTAACTTTAATAAACCTGCATTAAATATGTTTTAATTATTAAATTCATATACATTTGTGTAATCATTAATGTTTTAGAACATTATGGCAAGGCAAGACATTTAACTTTGTGTTGCCAGCTAACACAAGATTTCTTGTGGTAGTTTTTTTATTATTGAGCTTTTTCTTGTTCCCCTTTTTGGTGGGACTAGTTAATTAATACCAAGTGGTGTTCACCACAAGAACTGTTTATTAAAGGGATGTTGCAACGTCAACATCAACATTACTACTACTACCAATATCAACGTTGTTGCTATTACAGCCTACATTTATCTATATGTGAAGTTACAATCAGGCCTGCTCAGATGTGATTGTATTGTAAAGCTTAGGCAAGATACATTTTGGTTTTCTTTATATTTAGTAAATATAACTATTTAGTATATTCTTTTATTTGTCCCTGACAAATTTCTCTTAATAGACCAGCATTTCTGTGTCTGATTACCTAAAGAAAGCGTTTGACAGAGTAAGAGTCAAAGATGTAATCCATCTTCTGTATAATAGAGAAATTCCCCTAAATATTATAAAACTTATCGAAAACATCTACCAAAACAACCAAATGCAAGTCAGAATAGATGGACAACTTACAGAACCTATAGAAATAGGCAGCGGAATATGACAAGCAGATTCATTGAGCCCCATGCTCTTCAATTTGTTCATGGACGAAATCATCAAAAGCGTTAATTTGCAAACTTTGGCTCTGAAGAGATTTATTAGCTGGTTGTTGTGTTAAACCACATACATAGATTTTTCAGCCAGGAAAATTTTCGACTTCCTGGTCCTCGTTTTCCTTCTATGTTTCCTTGAAGAATTAATTGCTGCAATCTTATGCTGTTCCTCATGATGTGACCGAGGTATTAAAGTATATGCAGATCTTGCTTTGTCTATCCTAGATTTTATTTCTAGGGAATGATCCCAATTTTCATTGACGTTCCTACCAAGGTAGGTGTATGTTTTTACTCTTTCTATTGGGTGACCATTCACACTGATTCTTTCAATTTGCTGTTCCTTCTTAGAGATCGGTGAAAGTCCATATCTCTGACTCACTTCTGTGATTCTATTATTAACTCTTGGAGGGCTTCATGACTGTCAGCGAATACCACTGTGTCAACGTATAAGCGTTATGATTGTTATTTTTCTCCAAATAATTATATTGTTCCAATTTCTTTTGATTTCATTTATTTGTTATATAATATATATATATATATATATATATATATATATATATATATATATATATATATACATATATAATCAATAACCCTTCTACCCTAAGGTGTTGGGTGTAAAGTCTCTTTTAGTTTTCATGTACAAACTTCCTCCAATTCTTCTTGTTGCTAGCCAACTTCTTCGCTTGTTCCTTGGTGACTCCTCTCCTGTCTAGGATGGCGGCAATTTCATCGTCCCAGGTCTTCATGGGTCTGCCCCTCGGTCTTTTAAAGGTTCTTCTCGCTTCCCACACTTGTTTCACTTGGCTTTTTTTATCCATCCTTACCATGTGGCCGTACCATCTCAGTTGGGCTTCTTCGATTTTCTTCTCTATTGACTGGACTTTAAGGCGTTCTCTTATTTCATTGTTCCGTATCCTGTCCATTCTGGTCACCCCTAGTACTCTTCTTAGATACTTCATTGATACACTTTGCAGTTTACTTTTTAGTCTGGTGGTGAGAGTCCAGCTTTCACATCAAAATGTTAAGATAGGTACAAAAACTGTGTTGTAGATAGCTATCTTTACTTTTTGGGATACTTTTTTCGATAGAAATGTGCTCTTAATTGCGTGGTATATCCGGGAAGCGTTTGCTATTCGATTATTTATCTCTGCTTCTTGTGTACCCCTACTCTCTAGTTGCACTCCCAGGTATTTGAAGGTTTCTACTTGTTCTAAAGTATAGTTATTGATTTTAATGTTTGTATGTTGGTCTGTTTTCCCACATACCATCACTTTGGTTTTACTTTCATTAATTCTCAGATTGCGTTTCTCAAGTTTATCTCTCCATATTTGGAGGTTTCTCTTAAGTGCGTCCTCGTTTCTTCCAAATACGACGAGGTCATCTGCAAATGCGCACTCCGCAATCTGTATCATTTCCAGGTTTCTATGTCCAACAAATAATCTCGATGTTTCTTCTCTAGTTTCCTTCATTACATAATCTAGTACAATATTGAACAGGATGGGGCCTAGTACACCTCCTTGTCGTAAGCCATCATTGACTCTAAACTCTTCTGATTCCATATTATCTGTTCTTACCCTGTTTCTTGTGTTCTTGTATAGGCTCATAATAGCTTTTCTGAGTTTGCCGTCTACTTCTCTGTTTCTTAGGCTTTTGTCTATTTCAGTTCGCGGGGTTCTATCAAATGCTTTTCGAGGTCTATGAAGGCTTGGTGTAGTTCCGTACTTGTACTTCGTGCATTTTGTATTAGATGCTTGAGTGTAAAAATATGGTCATGGATGCTTCTTCCCTTCCTGAAACCGCTCTGTGACTGCTCTAGCTTATGGTCTACTTCTTGTAGTAGTCTTTTCTCCAGTACTCGTTCGTAAACTTTGGAAGGGATACTCAGGAGAGTTATACCTCTGTAGTTGCTGCATTCTCGTCTGTCACCTTTTTTGAAAATGGGTAGAATACCGCCCACTTCCCAGTCTTTTGGGATCTTGTTCTCATTCCATGCTTTATTGCAAACTTTTCTAAGCATTTAACTTCCATTTTCTCCCATATTTTTTACCATTTCCGCAGTTATCTTATCATAGCCAGCTGCCTTTCCTCTTTTGAGCCTGAGTATTATTTCTCTTATTTCTTCTATTGTCATTTATTTGTTAAAAACAAAAATTTCAATTCAGAAAGGCCTTTTAATTTCTTAATCATCAAGATATGTTTTATAACCTGTTGTGCAAAAGACTTAACTGGTATGGACACCTTCAGAGAATGCCGGAAAATAGATGGCCAAAAAAAATAGAAGAATGGACTCCGCCAACTAGAAGAAAACGAGGTAGACCAAGACGATCCTGGAGAGACGATGTCGACGATGCAATGACCGCCAGAGACCTAACAATTGAAGATTGCTTCGACAGAAAACGCTGGAAATTAGGATGCGAGAAGCGGCGCCAGCTGTAGAAGACTCGCTTGTTATATATTTACCTGTTGTGCTAGTAGTAGTATCGCTGATGGAAAAACAAGGACTTAGATGACAAGGACGGTAAAATGGTAGATATGATCAACCCTTTTGATTTATACTCATATCTGGACTCCTAAAATAGCCACTATAAATCGGCTAGAGGCCTTTGAGATCTGGACTTAGGTCACATACCGTATCGTACACGAGGTAACTAATATTGTATCTTACAAATAATAAATGGCAAGATAGAAGGATCAAGTGGAGTTAGTAGAAAATACGAATCATGGCTAAAAAACATTCGCTGTTTGACAGGTATCCGCACACTCGACAAACTTTAAATTTGTGCACGATCGAGAAAAAAATCTTTAGAATGATTGCTAACGTCAAGGAAATCGGACAATGCATATGACAATTTGAAGTTAAACAATGACATCTCATTTATACATTACTGTAAACAGACAATAGCAATGATCACAAGAAACTAGTGCTGAAAGTATAGACACCATACGACACAATATAAGAAATTAGGATTCGCTTACAAAATTTTTATTTTTAATCATTATTGTACTTACCCTAATTCCAGAGAGCATAAGAGTCACGTAGTAAAAGTCAGGTAACAAGAAAGCTCTTACTGTGGATCCGTCTCGTACGTGTTCAATAACTGCTTTTACTGGCTTGAATTGGAGTTGATCTACCAATTCTTTCGATTTTTCAATAGTCCATTTGATATCACGGACGTGCTCCTATACAAATTAAAATTCATGATTAAAATTACCTATCCACGCATGTGATAATAATTAACAAATAATACAAAAAATAAAATCTATCTATGGTGTGTCCAATGATGGTACCCAAAAGGAAAAACGTTTTTATTTCATGAGAAGAATATCATTAATCAAAAGTTTCGTTTGATTTAAAATACGATAATACTAAATAAGATTCAAATGTTATAGTATATTCATGTAAATATACGGGTAGAAAAGTATTTCCGTTTTAATACAATATGTTGTAATAACTAAGTGCTGAATCGGAATCTGTCGTCAGTTTTTCTCTATCTTTTACAGTTTTTCAACCTAAGATTAGACATACAGACGACGGACCAACAGAGCATCTATATGATCGAAATTTATTTTCTTATTATTTAGATCAAATACCACTATCACTGAGCTTTTCCACGCTGCGTTAAACAAGTTATAAATATTCATGATGATTGCCAACATCCAGAACACATAGGTACTATACGAACATGCCAATCGAATAAAATGAAATTGATTATTCACGGCATTTAAATATATGTTTGACTTCTCATGATAACACACTCAAAGTTTACGCGAATTATTATTTGTTTATTCAATTAAATGATGTTAAACTGGTACTTTACTTAAATTTAACACGCGTTTTGTCATATATAATTATTGAATTTTAGACATATATTACTATTATGAAATGAAAACGGTTTTACAATACAACTGAACATTGATTCTTTTTAGGGTACCTGTCCGTTCCGAACGTTGGCGATCATTCTGGCTATGATGACTTTGTTGGTTGCTATACGAAATAGCTGTGTTAAGGTCTTTATATACCATGCTCTCAGGTTAACAAGCCAGGATATTCTTCTTCGTCCTGGGGCCCTTTTTCCTTAAATTTTACCTTGTAAAATGCATTGAAGTAGCTCATATCTGCCTTGATTTCTTATTATATGTCCCAAGTACTACAGCTTACGACGCTTCAAATCCGCGGTTGTTCACCCTCTGTAGTACTTCTTCATTGTGACTTTGTCTATCCATGGTATCTTCAAGATCCTTCTGTATAACCATAGCTCAAAAAACCTTTAGTTTTGATAGAGTTTCCGCCTTCAATGCCCACGTTTCTACTCCGTAGAGAGGCACTAAGTACATATAACATTTAAGGAACCTTATTTTTATTTCTAGGGTGAATCCATAGCTCTTGAACACAGAGCTCATAGCCAAGAATGCACTTTTTGCCTTTTCGATGCGACATTTAATCTCTTGGGTATTGTCCCACGACTCATTGATTATAGTCTCCAAGTACTACAAGTGTACTGTGAGACACGTTTAATTCTCATTTGGTTCACATACAGATTTGTTCTAATTATGTTTTCCTTGTACATCACTATTGTATCATCCGCATACAGCAGGTTATTGAGCTTGACCCGATTTATTGAGATGCCTTCATCAATATTTTTTAGCGCCTCTTCACAAATGTGATCTGAGTACAGATTGAATAACAGTGGTGAAATTATGCACCCCTGTCTCGCTCCCCATAAGATTTTGACCTGATCTATATATTCTCCATCTATTCGGAGTAACGCTGATTGATTCCAATATAGGTTAGTTACTATTTTTAGGTCTCTTCCGAGAAATCCCTGTCCTCTTTAACACTTCCATCATTTGTTCATGCCTGACTATATCGAAAGCCTTCTTATAGTCCATCGGGCATGCAAAAACATCACAGCTGACATCTCTACATTTCTGAAACAATACCTTTACACTAAATAAAGCTTCCCTCATAGCAACTGTGTTCACAAAGCCAAACTGATTGGGCGCAATTTGGTCCTCGCATTTTCGGTAAATTCTTTGAGCTACTCTAGTGGTATTTTTCCTGCCTTGTATATTTCATTAAATATTTCAGTTATTATTTTTATTTGTTCTGCATCTAATAGCTCCAGCAGTTCTGTTGGAATTTCATCAAGTCCCGCTGCCTTTCCATCCTTCATTTGTCTGACGACTGCCGTTATTTCTTCTGGTAGGATTTCAGGACCTGAATTTTCTTCAATGGTGGGTTCTTGTATTGTTCTACGGTCATGGAAAAGTTTCTCCCAAGTATTCTTCCCATACTTTGAATACTGAACATTGATAAGTTGTGTAAATCATTAAAAAGCATTTACAAAAAGTAATTTTTACTTACAGATGACGGAGCTCCACTCCATATGCCTTTACCAGCTGATTTAGCAGCATCTTGAAGTTCAAGCAGGCGGGTTATTTCTGCAGTAGGTCTTACTGCTTCTCTAACAGTAACAAGTCCCTCTGATACCAAGGATTCCGTAATGTTTTCTGCAGTATTAAAATCTAAAACAACAAAACGAATTAAATTCCAACTATGGTTCTTCTCAGAGCCTTCTTTCAGTGTCTCATTTCTTTCTGTTAGTCCAACAATATATTATTGTGGGTGACTCATCCTCAAAAAGAAATCTGACACCATGAACTATTGAAGAATTCCACAATTCCAGCGGCGCCCTTATTTCATTATTTTTTTAGGATTGAATTATTTTATTAGAAATTAATTCCAATAATTCCATTAAATATTGTATTTATAATGGATTAAGATAAAACTGATTGCAATAAAAATTACATTATAAAATTTAGAAATTAGGAAAATATTTTAAAATGTAAATTCTTCACAATTGCCACGAAGAGCACATTTATAGGGTAGTATAATTTTTTTTAACGATTTAAACGAAATGTAAAATGTAACTCTCATTGCAGAGAACAACAAACAGTTTCAGAACCTCTTTCTTCAGCTTTGGCTTACTAGTACAGAAATATAGGTACATGACTTTCAAGGTTAATGCTTTTCCCTGAGTAATTTCTTAAATCTGCATATATCATTGAAAAATGAGTCATGTTATCTAAAAGCTCTAATGTCATGCCAATGTAATGTTTTTACCATTTCATATGACACAATAATCAACTAACTTTTACTATTAACAAGGAAATAGCTGGAAATATACAGCGACGACTGTGAATATCAGATCACCATCGAATTCTTACTTGTCTTTATATTACATTTTTATTGATGGTTAAAATTAAATGATGGTATTATTAATATTTTATTGAGAATTAGATATGGGATAAATGTCCAATCAGCAACATTATTAAGCATTTGAAACATGCTGATAGTTTTTGGATAGTTAAAATTATTGTTATAATATGGGCTGTATACACTTGCTTTGTCTAGATAATTTTGAATTCAACTTGTTTTTTATTGTGATAGGCTACATGCCCATGGAAGATTTTTAATGGGTCATTTAAACCAGCATGAATCACACCACATAAAACAATACTATAATATGTTATAACTTTAGAAAATGTGCCATCATCTTTTATCGGTACAGGTAAAAAACTCTTTCAGGCTACATCACATAACATTTTCGGACTAAAAAGCCCATGATCAGTGTATTACTAGGTGTACATGAGTTAAGCCGTTAGATACATTTTTCTTAAAAACATTAGTCTTTATATATTTTTTATAAAGGATTTTAAATAAAATGTTTGTGATTTATGCTATACAGCCAACTACAGGAATTTCTTTTTCCTTGTGGATTTTAAAATCTTTGTTAATATGCTCCCTGGCGTACATCAAACTAATACTTACGCCTATTTGGCTAATAAAAGGTTTATTTCTAGTTGTAGATTAGATTATCCTTTCATAATATCCATCTAATTGTTTTGGAGTTACATCTTCTTCCAAACTGTCTTTCCATCTCACCTCGCAATTTTGGTTCACTTTTTTTAGGATTATTTGCTATTTCTCTGACAATTCATCTTTCCTCACGTTGGATAAAAATATTATTTTGAGTTATTGATATATTGAGTATTATATATTGAGTATTTGGTAACATTCAGTATTGTGCTGAACCATTGATGAACATTTATTTACAATTTTGTAAATGGTTGTCTCTTTGGCTATATCCATTTCTATGGTGAGTAATAATTAAATTTCATTCACTAATTGTAGTTCAGCAACCCATTCTTAAATAATTTTGATATTTAACCATATACTTTCAAATGCCAAATTAAACATAAAAATAACTACGGCAATATGAATTTAATGCAACGCCTACTTCGCAGATTTCAAATTGATAGGTGCTGTAATGCTTCTTATCTGCATCATTTTAACTGTGACATCAGAATCGTACATAAAATAATTAAATATTTACTATTCTATTATAAGAAGACTTATAGTAATTTAATTTCAGTATACATATATTTAATATCTTTAATTTCAGTAAATACATTAAAAATTCAGTTTAACATTAAAAATTTATTATAACAACACATTTCATTTTTAAATTCGTCAACTACACTATCTTTATCTAAATTTACAGCAATTCCTTGTTCAAAAATATGTTCCAAACAGTCTTGCAGCATTATCGATTGAAGTTTCGATTATAAAATGCTCAGCTTAGAAAACGTTCTCACATTTTTACCAATGCGCGAGCTTTTGAAGTTTAATGACTGAATCATGTCAAAAAGTGGATAAAACACAAAAAGGTTCACTCTTTTTTTTTTCATTATTGACTGTGAATGCATTTTCAGCATTATTATTTAATCTAGTAGAAACTTCTTAATCTATTGCCCTCGATATTTTCTTCTAGCAAAATTTTGTATCCCCACATTCAATTTTAAAATAAAACGGTGGCCTGTATTAGATATGTGTATCTCATTTATAATTTTTAACTTATTTATTACAAAAGTTACTAGCCCTAGTAGGTTACAGCAGTTTACTATGTTTCTAACATTTGAAAATAAAGACAAAATGTATAACATGTCTGACCAAAGAAGTGAGAATAAAACAATTAGATTTTCCTTAACACTCCAATATATTTAATAAGGGAGGGGATTTTGCATACATAGAACAGAGGAATTTCTAGTTTTATATTTGTTTGTGTAAATCAATTGAAGAACTATGAGATCAATGGAACTCAATAAGCATGGAGGTAGGGTGATATTTATATATAAAAAAATTATATTCAGCGTAAATTGCTACCTGAAGCCTTATCTCAAATCTATCTCAGTTTGTGAATGCATTGATTGTGAATGTGTTATTTAGGGCAAAACTCTGGTGTGCAAACATATGATTTCCTAAAAGGTTTGGAAATGATTTAAATGGATACATTTTTTAGTTGTGATTTTAATATATGTGCGTAATGCATCATACTGATAAAATACAGATAAAAACAATTATTTTCTTTGCTTGGATCATATAATTTGCTTCCGTATGTAAAGGAATATTTATTTATTTATTAACGGATATACCATTTACATTGGAACAAAATAAAATATATAAAATTTTTCAAAGTAAGCATAACATTGGAAAATAATTAGTAAAGTTTAACAAAAACTAATAATTAACTTGAATACAAACTAATATCACATTTTTAAATTGTTCTAGGACTGGAAAAATAAGTCCAGATCACTTTGGTACCTATTATATAGTCTCACCATATAGTAAGAGGCTTGAAGTATTCATAATTAAATTGATGAAATGGTAGATGAAATAACAAACTATGCCTAGTTCCATGAAGAGTGTTAAGACCTAATTCTTCTTCTTCAAGTGCCGTCTCCATCAATCGAGGTTAGCGGTTATGGTGGCAAACGTTTGTCTATCTTCAAAGACCTAATTGATTTATTAAAATTATTAGCAATTTTGTAAAGGAATATCAGGTAAAAATAATCTTTTTGCAGATTCATAGAAACCATTTTCAAGTGATCAGCTAATATACTATAACTGTATGGGACAGAGAGGTCATGAAAAGCAACTGAGTTGTTTTCATACAGTCCTTGTAGACACACCTATCTCAGAACTAGCAACTTCACGTGGAGTCATATGTTGCCATGTTACCAAATCTACCAGTAACTTTACCATCATAATAATTAATGACACACAATGTAAACTAAATTTAAACAAACAATTTTTAACAGTTCTTTACCCGCTACATACATGTATACCAACACTGATGATATAATATGGATTTCGAAAATGTTTTGTGATTTAGCTCGATTGGGTTTTTAAATTATAATAATTTTTTTTTTCAAACATGGAATGTTCAAACAATTTTCTGTCAAATGAAATAAACATTGAAATTGGTAATAAAACTACATTTTTAGGGATGAGAATTGATGTAACAATCTCATGGGAAATTCATATAGCAATTTAGTAAAAGGTTTAATTCAGTATGCTACACTTTCAAAGTATTATCACAATATTATATATATATATATATATATATATATATATATATATATATATATATATATATATATATATAATTTTCAAATATAATTACCTTTTCCCAAATAAACAACTCCATATTCACGAACAGCATTTGGTGGTTTTTCACTAGTAAAGAATACTTCTTCCCCAATGAGTTTCTTTCTCAAGAATTCTCTTGCTTCCCAGGCCCATGGTTCATCCTTTGTTGTTTCTCCACTGTAATATGTAATTAATTAATTGAGTGTAATAATAATTAAATTTTATTATCCTGTTTTGAAGTTTCAATTTCTGATCTGAAAGAAAGTGTTTGAAAATGTTGTTGGTCATTATTTCATAATTTTTACTTCTAGGATTTTTGAAAACTATTTCCAGATCAGGAATCGGAATGTCAAAATAAAATAATAAGATGTACTCAATTCCCATTTCAATTAGTTTTATTTTAATCCCATCTAATATTGAGCCATGCTAAACATGTCAAAATTGCAACAGTTACCTATATGTTAAAAATAAAACAAGAAAATAAAAATATCAGGTGCAAAGACTAAGATGATACTTTTAAAAATATGTGCAATGTATTTGAAATTAATAAAAATACAATAGTTATGTCACATAGGAAGTAGTTGAACAATTTTGAATACAGGTAAATACTATTTATACTAAGTATAAATAGTATTTAAATGAAAAAGAATAGTTTAACTTTTTCAAATGTAATTTACTGGAAATTTTCATTGTAAAAAATGTTTCCAGTTATGTTCAGATAAATTTTAGGATGACTTTTGGGACACATGAGGAGAAACATGTATAGGATTTATGACATTTTTACTAAACAAAAAAATATAAATATAGAAGCAAATAGGCGCAAGCCAATTTTTTTAAATTTCAGTTTGTTTTTATAATTATTATTTAATAAACCAAATGATTGTAAATGGAAAAATAGTATATATTTATGAACACCAGTAATATATAATGAAACGTGTATATAGATTAGTTTGATATAGTACCATTTTAATTGTTTAGATTAGAAGAAATATGTAATTATACTTACGATTCTGCGGCACGTCTAGCTAATTTTGGTGCAGTAATGCTTGAAAAGTTTATCTGTTTTTCAGGTGGAGGTGCTCCAGATGGTGCCCGAATTATAACAGAATCCCCCGAGAGAATCTAAACATATGGCTTAATTCATTATTTGAACTTGTACTAATTAATATAATGAAGTAAATATTGCCAACTCATATCACATACAGGTATAACCTATAAAAATTACAAAATACATTACCGATATTTAAATATGGGATTATCATATTTTAGATGGAAACAACATATCTTTTCGGAATATTTTTTTCCATAACAAACAAAGTTTGAGCAATCCATATGCCCAAATTGTAATGCCAACAGTGCAACATACATACATTTTTTTTTTAATTATCACAAGTGTTTACACAAAAATCAAATATTTTTTCAGTTGACTATTTCGAACAGTTTTTAAATTCGTAATTTCGTAAAATAAATATACCTGTTTTATAATTCCACGTTTTGGTTGAACTGGAGTCGGTTGCTGGGTCGTCATCGTGGATATTTGGTTGAATGAAAGGAAAGGGGAGTGAAATTTCTTGACATCTCACTTAAACGTCAACGTCATCATCACGTGACTACTACATAGTAAAAATTCCTAAGTGTTATTCAAACAAATTACCTGGTTGTGTAGAAAACCATAGATAAAAGTATCAAAATAAGTGATTACTTGGTTGATAATATAAAAATAAATAAGAATACCTGTATAGAAACATTAAGAATATTCTATGACGACCCCAGATCTTCTGAGATTTTATTAATGACAATTAGATGTTTCAGGAATTAAGCAAAAGTTAAACGAAAATACAGTTAAATTGACTATATTTTGAATAACGGGCACTTCAATTCACTACAAATTTTGGAAGTTAGAACACTAAATCCAGCCAATATCGATATTCTACTTAAAATGAAATTCAATATGGTTCGCTAATGGATCAAACACTATCCAAGGAACTGAATCAGGAATGTTTGGACAAACAAAATTAAAAAAAAATGACAAAATGCATTGACACACTACAGTGTTTCAAAAAGTTTTTGTGTTGATAGCCAGCACTGTGAAATTATAAGGAACCTATAGAGCTAAATATGAGAATTATTATTTGTGTTGATAGCGAAATTACTAAATTAGCGATAAAGAATCCATTTACTAAATCAAAACTGGTAATTGCAAGGGTGTCTGCTTAATAAACTGACAAAAGACAACAGCGTGTCTTTAATATGGATGCTGTGACAGAGGGTGCAAAGGAAAGGATAGGAATGAGAGAGGTCCAAAGCCGTTCTGTAAATATATTAAATACGTTGAAAAATATAAGGTTAAAAAGTAGTTGGGTAAGATTCATCAAAATAAATATCAGAACTAATTGCACTGAGACAATCAACACGATCATACCATCTGGAGAACAAAGATTCTCAAACATTAATGGTTCACTGATGGATCTAAACCTGTCCGTGGTAATGAATCAGGAGTTTTTGGACAAATGTAATTATAACAAAAAATCTTACAGCTTAGATCAATATACCACAGTGTTCCAGGCTGAAGTTTTTGCTTTGGTGGTCTGTATTAATGAAATTCTGAATGGAGATAGCCAAGCGACAATTCTGGCCGTAAAAAACCCACTCACCAAATCAAACCTGGGGAGGAACTGCAAAGATCTCTACAACAACTTTGCAAAAAACAATTAACGGGTCATGAAGGGGTAACGGGAATAAACAAGCAAGTAACTATATAGTTATTTAAGTTAATTACTATTTAACTGGGAATAAGCCACAATTAAAGATAAAAATACGTTTATTGACGTTTCAATTTCCATTTCGGAAATCGTTCTCAAAATACAAACAGTAAATTTACTGTGCCACAAGAAAATAGCTTCATAACAATAGTTATTTAAGTTGCCAGGAATTATCTTTTAGGGGACACGATGAATCGGAGCATTCGTTAAATCAAGGTAATTATAGAGAACTAATAAAAATGTTTAAGAAATACGATTTGGAATTTTCTAATTTACTTTCTGATTCGAAGACATTTAGGGGTGTATCTAAAAAAATCCAGAATGAATTAATAGAATCAATTAGTTACATTTTGAATAACGTTATTGAATCTGAGATTCAGGAAACCATTTGCTTTTCACTAGAAGTAGATGAAACTACCGACATATCATGTCATTCACAATTATTAATTGTTCTTCGATACGCGTTACGTGGTAATATCTATGAGAGGTTTTTAGGTTTTACAGACGTGAGTAAAAGCCATAAGGCAGAATATATTTTTGGTGCTTTAAAGGACAGATTAAAATTTTTTGATATCAAAAATAAATTGGTAGGGCAAACTTATGACGGCGTTGCCGTGATGCCTGGTGAATTAAATGGTCTCCAGGCAAAAGTTAAAACTATTGCACCGCAAGCTTTTTACTCACTCTTATGCGCATAGAATGAATTTAGTTTTGCAGGATACATGTAAAAAAATTAAAGAATGTCGTCTTTTTTTGCCAGTTTAAGCGGATTTGCTTCATTTTTCTCAAGCTTGCCTAAACGGACTAATGTTTTAGAACGGTTTGTTTCGAAAAAAATGCCAACAGTTTGTCAGACGCGATGGAATTTTAAATTTCGGTTAGTTTTCACTGTAGCAGATTTTAGTGAACAGTTTTTGGAAGTTTTTAATTTTATTATTGAATGTGACGATTTTGAAAGTGATGATATCTTGATCCGTGAAGAAATCGGTTTAAAAACTTTATTAAATGATTACTCTTTTAACATACTTTTAAATATTTTTAAGAAAGTGTTTACCCAAACCGATTTGATATTCAATGTTGTTCAAAATCAGTTAACTGACATTATTCATTCCAAAAATAGAATAACAAGACTGGTGCAAAATCTCAGAGATTTTCGTAATGATAGTAATTTCCAGTATATACGCAGTGACGTTTTGGTCTCGCTTGATATTTCCGAACCCCCTAAAAAAGACAAAGGCATGACGCAGAAACAGATCTCGAAAAACGAGTATATTTTGAAATTTTGAATACTATTATTATGCAAATAGATACTCGTTTTTCGAATTTTGAAGATTTGCAAATTTTTGACCTCTTTGACGATTCAAAATTTAAAAGTTACGCCAAAGAATTTCCAAGATATTTATTAGACAGGTTAATTAAAAATTATCCATTATTCTTTAATAAAATAAAATTAGAAAATGAATTAAAAGTTTTATATGCTGATCCAAATATTTTCAGAGGATGGGATAAGTTACAAGATGTATAATTTTATATACTGCAATTCATTACAACAAACTGTTACCGAAATTAATAAACTATTGTCATTAATTCTCTCATTACCACCAACGTCTGCCCCAAATGAACGAGATTTCTCTTGCCTCAAAAGGACCAAAACGTACTGTCGAAATACCATGAAACAAGAGAGAATGTCAAGCTTGTCTTAAATGTCAATAGAAAAAAAACTTTTAAAACCTCTCCAAAACTCTAATAAATTTTACGATGACGTTATTAACTCATTTTGCTACTTCCAAACAACGTAGACTAGAGTTAATTTATAAACATGTGTAGATTCTAAATTTATAGGATACTAGGAAAAAAAAACAAAAAACAAGAAAACAAAAAATCTCCTATGATGATTGAAGTATTTATTAGACGGTATACCTATCTGAGGAGACAAAAAATACCTTGCCGACCTTGTCTCTCAAGCCACGAGCCGCCACTGTATTAGGTATACACTTTATCTACTACTACATGGATACTGGCTCCCATGAACGAAAAACCGTAGATGATTTTTCCCACGGTTTAAATATTTTCTTTATACACAGTTTTATCTCTTATAAAAATAGGAAGACTAACATGGGCAGGACATCTGGCACGATCACAGCAGAACAACCATCCTAGAAGAATCCTTATGTCACAACCTGTGGGAAGTAGAAGTAGGGGTAGGCCAAAACTCAGATGGAGGGATGGTGTAGATGAGGATGGTAGAAAAATAGGCGCAGCAAACTGGCAACAGTTGGCAATGGATAGAACTGACTGGCATAATAGACTTAGGAAGGTCGAGGCTCTTTTATAGGGCTGTAACACCAATGATGATGATGATGATACACAGTTTCAAAAAATAAATACCAAAAAAATACTACAATTATAACGACCCCCCCAAACACGACAAACAACTCAAAATTGAAGCAATAAATAACCTTGTTGCAAAAATGACAACTAAACGAAAAATTTGTAAGTCCAGTACCTTTAAAGATAAGCACTTACCTACTTGATAACACTTACTTACATAAATCTAAAACGATCAAGTTTACAGAAAAATTACAAGAGACCTATTTTGTTTAGAATTATCCAAAAAATTAAAAAAAAAATATCCCGTCCAAAAAATTGATTGCTACCCAGTAGAATCATCTACTTGACGGAAGAAAAATTACGTATTCATCTATGTAGAAATAAAATTGATTATCTGCTACATTGTATAGTATACATTATATTTATAATATACTCTAAAATAATATAAGTTGCCTACATTTGGTGCAACTCGGCGCATTATTATATAAAAAAAACATAATTAAATCATGTCTTGGAATATTCCTTCCTTCTTTTGGGTGATTACCCACTCCCACATAAGATATTCCAACTAAATATAAACACAACCTAACTTTTAGTGTTGATTGAAATATTGGATATCTCAATAACGCTTTTAGACATATTCAGTTGATTTCTTTAAACCACAATTTCAAATTTCACGTGAAATGAAACTGTCTGAAACACTATATGAGTATGAGGATGAAAAGAAAGAATGAATTATTGTATATCATTAAAACTGAAATATACTTGTAAGAACATTTACAGGAAAAAAATAAACAAATTACTAGAAAAATAAGATTTCTAAATTAATACATAGGTTAAAATATATTAAATTTAGTATATTTGTAATTGGCACACTATTCAGTTAAAACTTCATTCATATTGTTTTGAGACTGTTTACTTTTACATTATATAGAAATAATATTTGTTCTTTCACAATACGATGTCCACACACAATCTGGTTAATTGATTGTACTTAAAAAAGAACGTTTTTCAGAGAATAAAAATCATTGTACAATCATCAGTACGTTAAGCAGATTGCATTGATATAAACTTCATCTCCACAGACATCGTTCCGTCTTCTAGTACCAAAACATCATCAGAAACATATTCGACAATAATTGTAAATTAGCTTCCCGTAATATGATACCAGTAATACTAACTATAGATTTACTGACCTGCATATTTTCAAACTGCTTACTTCAGCTGAAGTAAGTATCCAACTCCAATAAAACGAGCTTATTCTTATTCTTAACGTTTATCCTTTACATATAAAACTACATATATAAGCTGTCCACATGGTTCCTTCTTTTCCAGTAGTTAGTGTTTATACTTCTGCGATTCAATAAACTAACCTACGCGTATTCACTGCACTCACATTTTCTGAATTTTTCTTGTGTGTCTTGCAGATGTATTAATTACAATAAACGATCACATAAAATATCGTCTTATTATAGTCTACAACGCTTCGCCACTTT